AGACCTGTCTGGTACCATAGACCTGTCTGATACCATAGTCCTGTCTGGTACCATAGACCTGTCTGATACCATAGACCTGTCTGATACCATAGACCTGTCTGATCCCATAGTCCTGTCTGGTACCACAGACCTGTCTGATACCATAGACCTGTCTGATCCCATAGTCCTGTCTGGTACCACAGACCTGTCTGGTACCATAGACCTGTCTGGTACCATAACCACTGCAGATTTTCATATGTTCCTCTGTGAGCTTGCAACATGTCATGCAGCTAACTGAAGCCATTTAGGGGAAGCTACACAGAATGCACGGCTTTTTCAGGAGATCAATGTTTAATTTTTAGTTTATAAACATTAGACTGTTCTTCTAATACTACAGTGAAACCATTGTAGAATTCCACCAGAAAAGAAAGAGATGATGTCTAAATGCATTATATGCTCAGTGGCAATTTTATTAGACACTTCTACCGAGTACTATGTGGGATTTCGTGCAGGAAAGCTGTAAAGGTCCAACATGTTGTGTCATCTGAAACACCACACCGCTGTTGTCCAGACCTGTTACTTTTGCACCTGTGGGCTTCCTGTTAGCTTTAACAAGTCTGGCCGTTCTCCTCTGATGTCTGTCATTAATGTGGGGTTTTTGGCCACAGATCAGCCCCCAACTGGATGGTTTTTGTTCATCACACCATTGTCTGCAAACTCTAGACACTGTAGTGTGTGCGGATAAATACACACACACACACACACACACACACCCACACACACATAACATAGTAACATAAGGTGTTACTTTGGTTCTCCGGTTTTCCTCACAAATCCATGCACTCCGACATCCAGTGTATGCACTGATTAGGAATAATAATGAATCGCCAGGAGACACAAAGCAGAAAAGTAGGACCATTAAACTAGAAAAGGAGTCTGAGAAGAAACATTAATACAATAAAAACAAAGTCAGTGCAATGACATTAACAGAGTAGATTTAAAAACCATAAAAACAAAGAATAACAGCAGTGCAAACAAAAGTAATGGAATAAATCAATTCAAAGAGATACAAATATAACTAAGTGCTGAATTTAATTAAGATGAAGCAAAAGAAGCCAGTTTAGGATGCTGGTTTGAAGGTGTCAGGTTAATAAATGAAAGATTACTTATATTAACAGAAGGCAGCAGTGTATTATGGGATAGAAACAGAGCGTGCCGATTGGAACGTGAGAGGTGTGCGAGATGGAGTAGCACCCTGTCAGCATCGGTTAAACACCTTTGAAAAATCCCCGTGACTCTTTTAGGGCAAATGAAACGCTGACCCACTGTTTCTGTGGCGACAGCTCAGCCTCTCCCTCCATCCCAGTGTTTCTGCAGTGACAACTCAGCCTCTCCCTCCATCCACCCACTTACCTGCTCTTCCCTCCATCCACTGACATCGCAAGGCTTAGTTAGTTTTGGTCTCTTAGCAACGTGACTCATTCCTTGGGAGATGAACATCACATTCGAGGATAGCTGGCCATCTGGGCTGAGTGCATGTGTGCGCGTGTGTGTGCATGTGTGTGCGCATTACTAACTTAAATTCAACTTAATTAGATGATTAAAACAAATTGATTTAGTTTGGCCACAAAGTTTACACCCCAGAATATTTTTTTTTTCCCCAAGAAGTGGTACATTCTGTGTTTTGTACGTAACACTGTAAAATCTGTCAGCAAATGAGGGGCTACTGAGGAATAGCGTGTAAAGTCATCCCAGAGGTCCCTGAGTGAGAGTCTCCTGAGGGTATTTCCGGAGTTCCAGTGCTCGGGCAATAGTCACAAGTTCACTGTCCATATTATTTAGTTCATATAGGGTGAGTCCAGGCTGTGAGGGATGGATGGGTGATGAAAGTGTGCTGAGGGACGCCTTGGCAGGTGGTGGGCGGCTGCACACAGGTGTGTGCGGTGCATTTTCATAATGGCTCCCCCGGCCTAGCGGACTACGCCGGCTGGAAATGGGCCGCTAAATGGGCCGTCCTGCGGCAGCGGTGTGCTCTAAAGGAGTCTGTCATCACCCTACTGGACGCGACGTTCCACACATCCGCACTCGAATGCTAATGCCATTAGAGAGCCTGGAAGTACTCTCTTGTTCGGGAGAAAGCGGGAAGCAGCTGCGTCCTGTTCGTGGCGCCCATGAAAACACAGATACTTACATGGAACCGTCCCCGCAAGATAAAGGATGACTTTGGGTCCCTGCTTTTAGGCCCAGAGAGCACAGTACGGGGGCTCAGACTGGTCTCTGCGTACAGTGTGTTTTTATAAGTGACACGCCACATTGTGACAACCCAAATGGCCTTCAGTGCCTGAACCTGCCCCCATGTGACACTGCGGTCTGATCTGATTGGTTGTTTTCCTGGTGCTCTGCATGCTCTCCTCCTGCCCTCTCATCCACCCGGTGCTGTTATTACTTGTGTCCCCCCCCCCAAAAAAAAAAAAAAATCACCCAAAGATGGTAAAAAAAGATCAGCCTATTAGCCCCGTTCAGCAGGTTGCCATCCCCCAACCTTCCCTGGCTGACCACCAGCCCCACCACCAACAACGCCTTGGTCTGGTTCTCCCTGAAGGCTGTTTCTAGGGACACCTGCCCCCCCCCACCCCTGATTCACCAGAGGGCAGTATTGATCTCAAAATTCCCACTTCCGGGCAAGCAGCCCCAGGCTTCAGCTGCCCTCTGGCCCATGTGAGCCTCAAACCCCACCAGCGCTCCTGGGTGCGTTTGACAGAGTAATAAGGCAGAACCACATCCCTGGTGCTACGAGCTTAGCCACCTTCAGCCTGCCAGGTTAATGAATACTGCAGAGGATAAGAATGAGAATATTCTGCCTTCAGGGGCTGTTCTTTACTGCACTCAGTGGCCACTTTATTATGTACACCTGCTTGGTATCACAAAGAACCTGCTCCATCAGTCAGTCACCATGCTGGGGTTGTCAAGCACTACATTGTGTAGAGTTCACAGAGTATGCTGTGAAGAGCAAAAAATATCCAGTTAGGGGCATTTCTGTGGCTGAAATAGCCTTGTTAATGAGACAGGTCAGAGGAGTATGGCCAGACTCATTAAATCTAACAGCAAGCTAGTAAATGGACAGTCTCAGTACAGCAGTGGTGTGCAGGGAAGCATCTCTAAACAGGCAGCTCATCAACCGTGAACTACTTCTGGAGACAGAAGAGAGGCCAAACTGCTACTATTTAGCCATTTATTCTGAATGTGTATTTAATGACTTGGTGCCCATGTAATTATTCACAGAGGAGACGTGTGAGTGAGACTGTACGCATACAGTAGCAGATCTGCTCTTAATGCAGTACCAGCCTTAGTTCACACAAAGATACCAGTGACATGTAATAGCTGATACGGCAGGGCATGGCGGAGGAAGGACGATCCATGATGCAGCTCCAATCAAACAGGGTTTATTTAACAAAAATAAATCGGAAATAAAGGAACCACGATGGGTCAAACAACAGTGAAAAAACAGAAATTAAGGCAGGAAACACAATCAGGGAATCACAGTACTAATGGCAGGGAAAAACACAGGAAGCAACAATGACTAACGGAAAATGATAATCATGAATACAACTAACAAACACATTTCAACACTGGGAAACAGCCATGATGAATAGGCACTTCAGTACATACAGACAACAAGGCTAATCAGGGGCAAGTATGTACCATAACCAAATCAACCAATCAGGACAGGCATGGGACAACAAAAAGAAGATGGAATAAGTTACAATTAACAAGCACAAGAAACTAGGGCATATTAACAAGCACTAAAGGGTAACTAAACTAGGAGAGAATGCGAACCTAAACATAACACAAAACAAAGACAATGATAAACAATACCGAACACCAAGGATAAAATAAAACCCAATGAATTAAACGAAAGGTGAGGCAGGCCTCAAGCCAGACCAACCCAGCCCAGAACCCATGACAGCTTTGAAGCCTCGCACTCAAGCCCTTGAGCTAAACAGCAGGCAAGGCAATAGGGAAACACACTGGGGACTTAGGGGTATAAAACAGAGGGAACAGGATGGACAGCGGCATCTGCTGGCCAAACGAGGACAAAACAAATGGACAGAGCCAGACAGGCACCGACCCTGACAATAACCAGGACATTGTACCTGCAATTCCAGTTGAATAACCAGTTTGTAAATGGGCTGGAGGAAGTTGGCTTGTAGAAAGAGAAAAGTCACATACTTCATCTTCCATTTTGAAATCTTTAATTTTCTGTTTACATATAGGTATTTTTATATACTTGCCTGGAAACATAAAGAGTACACAGTCCTTCCATGTGATGTAAAACAGCGCTTACACAAGTCAAAAGAAACCAGTCGGAACTGAGAAGGCTGGCAAAGAAAGATGTTGCACATCATGCGGTAGTGATCTGCATGGATCAATCTTGACCCTTCCCCCTTCACCTGGAAAGCTGGCTGCGATTCTTACTGCGTTTTGATCTTTGGCACTGATTCATGAAACTCAATGGCAAACAGGAGTCAGTGGCAGGGAGCACTGAATCGTTTTCGAGAGCTAAGTAAAAAAAATGACAGGACTGCCAGAGAAAAAGGATTTTGTGTTTGTTTTCCCTCTGCAGAATAACACATGAGACTGAGGGCTCAGAAATGTTAAATGCAGTTCTGTTCGAGGTGTTAGTCTTTGCTGCAAAGTATTTGGCAGATAATGACGCACCTTAACCCGCATAATCACATCTGCACGCAAAAATGCCTTTTTACGCCTCTTCTGCATCTCTGCCGTGTTTATCCCTCACTGCATTTCGGCAAGTGAGCTCTCTCTCTTTACTGATCCTGTCATTAAATGGGGCTGAGGGGGGGTTGCTTTCTTAGTTTTCATGCTGTAAGCAAACAGACACCCCTAAGTTGAGGTGTTTTAGTGTACCTGTCAGAATTTAGCAAGGAGCACTCAGTCTTCCGTTAAAAAGAAATCTGGAGCGATGGCACCTAGGTGTGCCCTGGGTGACACTGAAATAATCCAGTGCTCTCACTGTGGGGCATCACTGCGGTGTGTGACACTAAAGGCCTGCCCTGCCTCAGAGCTCGACTCGCCTCCGGATATATAAGCAAAAAGCACACAGGTAGTTAAGGCGCTATATAAATGTGGCCCATACAGCGCTCGCTCTATGGGCATGTCATGCACCCCCACCCCTAGCCTGCTGACCTCAGAGCCCACACTGTTCCTAGTTTAAACTGAAGATACTTGTTATTGAAAAATAAACACACTGTAGGAACTATTACACTGGCACTGTATCTAATTACCACTGACAAACAGCAGGCTTTATGCAGCATCTTATGGAATATTTACAGTGGTACAGAATGGGCTGTTTTCTTCATATGTTCAGCATATCATGATTCGGTCTGTGCAAGTGTATCTGTAATATGGGAGGGGAGTGGGAGTTTCAATGTAAAAAGTGATGGTCCAATAAGCACTCCGGCTCCTCTCTAACTGAGTTTCACTCTTCTTCATGGTGAAGGTTGAGGCACTTCTGAATCAGTGTGGTGTAAGGGGCTGGGGCTGGATGGACAGTACCGGTCAAAAGTTTGGACACACCAAGCCACCTACAAAGGTGCGTGACAGTGTCGCATCACATGACCTGGCCACCTGACCTAAACCCAGTAAAGATAGTTTTGAGGCGTTTGACCAAAGACTGAAGGAAAAGCAGCCAATGAGAGCATATGTGGGACCTCCTTCAGGACAGCTGGAAAAGCATCCCAGGAGGCTACCTCATGAACCTGGTAGAGGTGACAGTAGGGTCAGCCTGTCCCTGGAGCGATTGGGGTTAAGGGCCTTGCTCAAGGGCCCAATGGTGGGATCACTCTGCCGACCACGGGAGTCCCAAACCACAGAGCTGCCCCACCGCCCCCCACGTGTTTTGTCAGTGCATAGTCCCATATATGTTATTTTGTAGTTTTGGTGTCTTTTTGTTTATTCTAAAATGTAGAGAGTAGTACAAATAAACCTTTCTGTGGGTACGTGTTTCCAAACTTTTAACTGGTACTGTATAGTGTGAGCGGTTGAAGCTGAGGTTGGATGTATAGTATGAAGTCAGCACCTGAAATCCTCTATGCAATGCTCTGCCCAAAGCAGAGTTGTTTAACTTGATAGTTCTAACCAAAATGGCTCATGCAGCTACAAGTTGCTTCCCCTACATCTTCATCCTTAAGTATCAGAGGTATTGCACGGACCCCTGGAGACCCCGCACCACCATCCCAATCTGCATGCCAGAGGCACGCAGCTCTTTTGGGACTGATCCACATCCAGCCCTGTATTGTGTTATTTCCTTGTTATTTTCAGGTCTGGAGAGCAGGCCTGCCTCCCCTGCTATGCACACACTAGCCTGCTAATGAGAAGGCCCATTTTACAGAGATGATGGATATTTTTGGGCACAGGTCTGGAGAGCAGGCCTGCCTCCCCTGCTGTGCACACACTAGCCTGCTAATGAGGAGGCCCATTCTGCAGAGATGATGGATATTTTTGGGCATGGGTTTGGAGAGCAGGCCTGCCTCCCCTGCTGTGCACACACTAGCCTGCTAATGTGGAGGCCCATTCTGCAGAGATGATAGATATTTTTTGGCACGGCTCTGGAGAGCAGGCCTGCCTCCCCTGCTGTGCACACACTAGCCTGCTAATAAGGAGGCCCATTCTGCAGAGATGATGGATATTTTTTGGCACGGGTCTGGAGAGCAGGCCTGCCTCCCCTACTGTGCACACCCTAGCCTGCTAATGAGAAGACCCATTCTGCAGAGATGACGGATATTTTTGGGCAAAGGTCTGGAGAGCAGGCCTGCCTCCCCCTGCTGTGCACACACTAGCCTGCTAATGAGGAGGCCCATTCTGCAGAGATGATGGATATTTTTGGTGATTCCCAGCTCAGTGTCACTGGAGAGATGTGAGCGAAGATCCAGCCCCGCGCCCTGCGGCGGCTCAGCCCTCGAGGACAAGCAGTGGTGCTCGGCTTTCCAGAAATGCATCTGACTGCTACTTGACATTCTGCTCCAATTAAGGCCCGAATGAGTTGTAGCGCCGGTCTCGCTTTGAGCGGCTCCCCTGTGGGTGTGCTGCTTTAGACACAGGCGGCTCTGCCGGCGTCATGCCTACAGCTCCAGACTCTTGATGTCTGACCTCCCGAGTCCCTCCTAGCTCTGAGCTTCACTGATTTCCGGTGAACTGAATCCTGCTCGTTTCACGGACCCAGTAGGGTCCTTGTACACCTCATATAAAGACATCAATTATGTGTTTTTGCATTTGGAGCTCACCAGCGGCATAAGTAGTTGACTTGTTACAGTTTGATTTTACTCCGTTTTCCCATGGCAGATACAGTAATTCAGTGGATGCACACTATGTGCAATCAGTTCTGAAACACAGGGGGCTGCTGTATCTGCCCTTGTGAAAATGAGGACAGTTCAGTCACTTTTCCTTCATCCTTTTGAACACTATCACTCCCAGGTCCAAAGACGGTTTCGAACATACCTCTCACTAGCCTAAAACAGGGGACAAAATCTTCATACTATGATTCCATAGGTAGCTTTGATTATTTTTGAAATTACAAATAGCTGATCTTCAGGGAGGGGTTCATCTCCACTGGTTCCTCGGGGAGAGGTCTGATACTGCCATTCTTGGTGCCATTAAGCAGGGGCTGAATGGCAGTTACAGGCCCTGAGCCTGGGCCTTTCCCACTGGACTCTCCGCTCTTGGCTCTATGGTCTGGGCTACCTGTATCAGAGGCTACCTCCACTTTTGCCCTTTCGACAAAGTGGGCCCGCGAGCCCTCTGGCTGTCCGATGCCGTTGCCATTTTGTGTGATTCTGCAGATCTCAGTCATCTCGGTCACAGCCTCGGCATCCTCCTCCTCTTCCTCCTCTTCGTCACCCGCCTGTATCACTCGCCTGAGGCTGTCCCTCGGCTTCAGAACCCTCCTCCTCTCCTCCTGCTGCTCTGTCGGCTCGTGGCTCCCCACCTTGCGGGATGAGCGACATAGGGCTTTCCGAAAGCCCTGCTTGAAGTTGTCGGAGAGGAACCCATACACAATAGGGTTAGCGCAGCTGTTGGCATAAGACAGGACTACCACAAAGGAGTAGAGGCCCTGCAGGTTCTCCGGGGGGGGTACAATCAGGTTGATGATGTTTAATGCATAGAAAGGGAGCCAGCAGAAAACAAAGACCGCCACCACTATGACGACCATCCAGGTAACCTTACGTTCGGACTTCCTGCGCTTGGTAGACGTGGCATGAACCTTCTTGCCCGAGCTGCGGATCTTAATAACTATCAATAGGTAACAGAGGCAAATCACAAGCAGCGGGAAGAAGAATTCAACGGTCGATGTGTAGATGATGAAAGCCGCATTCCAGATCTCGGTGGGCTCGGGCCAAAAGATGTTGCAGTTGCCGTTCTTATGGACTTCTGCGTAGATGACCACGGGCAGGACCACAATGAAGGACACTGCCCACACTGTGCCATTGACCATTTTGGCCACTTGTGGGCGGCGCCACTTGGAGGAGCGGATGGGGTGGACCACTGCTAGGTAACGATCAATGCTCATCACTGTCAGGCAGAAGATGCTGGTGAACTGGTTGATCCCATCCACGGTCAGCACCAGGCGGCACATGAACGAGCCGAAAGGCCAGGTCTGCAGGGCGTTCTGGATGGCCAGGAAGGGCAGGCCCAGCATAAAGAGCTCGTCGGCAATAGCCAAATTGAGGATATAGATGTTGGTGACCGACTCGCTCTTTGAGTAGTGTAGGACGATGTGGATGACTAAGGTGTTCCCACCGAGGCCGATGATGCAGACCACGATGTAAATGAGCGGGATGACCACCCCGTCCATGATGGAGCTGACCCCGGTTCTAGTGGAATTGGTACCGTTGAGCGAGGACTCATTGTGCACCGTGCCATTGAAGGGCAGCAGAGAGAAGTCAAAGCCTGGGTGGAGGGTGGAAGTGTTGCCCAGTGTCTCTAGGATCCCTGGTGAAAGAGTGGGGAGCAGTTCCATGGAGAAAGAGGGGAGAGGCAGTGATGTCTGTCAGCAATGCTCCATTAGTCCTGTGGGAAACAAAGAGAGGCATTTCTCAAAGACAGGCATTCCTGCAGGAAACAGGAAGACACTCAACAGATGGACAGTCAGTCAAGTAAAATGCCAAAACGGGCGGGCAGGCAATAGCCCAGAGTGACTGGGGCCACCGGATTCATAGCTGGATGTCAAGGTGAGTAATTTGGTGGCACTTTTAGGATGGAGGCCATGATGATGATGAAAATCGTGTTTAATAATCATACAGCACACCATGGGGGGAAAAAAACGTGGAAAGAAAAGGTAGCAAAAGAGAGGAACGAAAAGATAAAGGTGGAGTCGAGGGGCCGTGGAAAACAGAAGGGTGTGAGTCACACTGGAAACTATTAAATGGGTGTACGGGCAAACAGGAACGGGGTGGCGGTGGACCCCGGGGCACAGCGGCAAGCGGAAAGCCCAGGCAAAACAAACATGGCCTGTTCCCATGCCGCTCTTTGCCATGACGGCTCCTAATTGGATTTTTATTAGTGGCCGGGCACATCTGGGGGGGGGTTGAATGGAGGACGTGCACACAGTGACATTTGACTGGGGGGGGATTAAAAGCCATGAAGGACTTCCCTATCTTAGGTGAGGCCCTCAGATGGGTAAACAGCAGCGCCTGAGTAGTTTTTATTGCGTGTGCGGAGATGGCGATTACAGCCCCGCTTGCTGGGAATATGACCATCAGATTCATAGATAAAGGCTGACCGCTCCCTGACCGATAATCGAATCCGAGACAAAAGCGACGCCTTCCCCGGTGAGTGGCTAAGCCGACGAGCTCCAAAGGGCCATTTTCTCTTTCTGCTGTATAGATTTTAGCGGGGGAGGATGGACGAACGGATTCCTTTAGCCTGTTGAGTTTGAAAATTCAAAAAAATAGTTCAAGGCAAAAATCTTAGAGAAACATAAAAAAAAATCTAAAGTGAATCACTAAGAAGAGAATCGCAGGAAGAGGCAGAAGCGAATGCTGTTTATGGTGCATGCAGAGAAAGACTGAAGGAAGGACAGACACTCAGGCAGCTTACAGGCCACCCCTCTGGGTGCCCAGGTCTCTGAAAAGGACCCTGGCAGGACCGGGTGGGGAAGCTTTCCCCTCTGTATTCACAGAATGTCTTTCCAAGTCACACAATGGTCAGGGTCCAGTTACACTGTTTTATCATTCATTTCCCTCCTTAAATCAAATGCATCTACCAGGTTTTCAGTGCTTTAGTCTCCTTAGTCTCTCTCCAATCGTGCAAATGATTCATTTATATCACAGTATTTGTAGTGATTTCACCCAATTGGTCTTTTGCTCAGTTTGATTCTTTACTAAATCCTGTATTTAAAGCAAACTCAGGACGTCGTTTGAAATCACAAGCAGGCGCCTGCAGACTATCACAGCTGCCCTTAAACTAGGGCGCAGGAAGGTCTCATTTTCAGAACTTTTTGCAGTCTCGCTGTCACCCTTACTCATCTGTCATTGCTGCGTGACATATCTGGGAAAAACAAACATAAGAGATGAAATGAAAGATGAAATTTACGAGACAGACCAGCCAGATTCCTCATCTCTGGTGTCGCTTCTGGCTCCTGCATGGAGATAATGATGCTGACGTCAAAGCACAAATCCTTTCTTCTTTCCGCACTCTCCTTCCATTTCTGCAGCCTCCGCACAGCTGAGACTTCTGGGAGGCCCGGGGTACTCTAGCCCTCCCTCCTCCACCGCTCTCGCCCACAACGGCCTCCTCTGAACACAGATACACTCGGGGGGGGGGGGCTACGACCTGTGCAGGGGCTCATTAATAGGCTGTCATCTGCCTATGCGTCTGTACAGCCCATCCACCGCATCATACACCAACGATACGAATCACATGATCCGCTATCTGTTTTATTCACAATGATGGCGCTTATAAGCTTGGCATTCACTGTTACTCCGATAATCTCTCACTGTGATCCCTGATCAGGGATATCTGTGTAAGTGTACGAGAAGTGCCTTACTAGGCTAAGCAGTTCTTCCAGTAACCTATGGGGCGGCGCTCTGACAGTAGGGGCTAAAGTAATGGGTGAAGCAGGGAAGGCAGGAAGAAGGATCCCCTTGCCCTGGAATGAGGGCTGGAGGGCAGCGGACATCCCAGCAGTCAGTGTGGCGTCTCAGTTAACTGCTCGCCGGCTCCGTAGCCTGCAGGAGGGAAGGTGTGCGGTGAAGGGCACCACATGCAGGTTTGTCACTGCCTCTGACGTTTAGTCCACGGCAGAAATGGGCAGAATTCTCACTCAAAGAGCCCCTCGCCTGTGCCTGAAAGCCTGCTTCCCCATCCCCCACTGATCAATAAATCCTGCTCATGAGAAATCTGTTTACACACTGTGGGAGTGCGGGATTCTCCGGAAGCCACGCAGGGATGCAGTTATATAGATGGGAAGTGACATTTTAATCAGCCTCTCCCTCCTCCCCGACGGGAACAATATTCTCATGGAAAAGAGGGGATTGAATGTGCTGGTGTATGTAATATCAATCCAGCAGAGCTTTCTCTGGCAAGAACGGCAGAGTTACGGAGAGCAATAGGAGGTGAAACGGTACAGGCGCTCGCTGGCCAGTCTGCGGCCGTCCCCAGCCACAAGGAAGGCCACTAACCAGCCCTGTGGCTTGGGGACCGGGTTGGGACAGCCGGCCAATCTGACAACATGCACTGAACTGTCTAGCATGAAGTATGTTAGGAGTTGGGTTGCGGGATTTCACACTGAGATTATATGCCGCATGTGCCATGTAACTGTGGTTACATCACGAGGTGATATCGTGCAGCCCTAGTTAGGAGTGAGAGAACAAGGGAGGGAGGGAAAGGGGGAAAGAGAGAGGGGGAATGAGACAGGGAGGGGGTGACAGAAGGAGGGAGTGAGAGAGTGAAGGAGGGATTTCGAGGGAGTAAGAGAGAGGGAGGGAGTGGGAGAGGAAGGGAGGGTGTGACAGAAGGAGGGAGTGGGAGAGGAAAGGAGAGAGGGAGGGAGTGAAAGAAGCAGGGATTGGGAGAGGAAGGGAGTGAGGGAGGGAGTGAGAGAGGAAGGGAATGGGAGAGGAAAGGAGTGAAAGAGAGAGGGAATGACAGAAGGAGGGAGTGACAGAGGAAGGGAGGGAGAGAGTGACAGAAGGAGGGAGAGAGCAAGTGATTTGCTTTTCTTTCCCTCTTTTTCTGCATCATGTCACAGCTAAAGCCCAAGCACACCATACTTTAGAAATATTAATAATAGCTTACAGTGTATTACGATAAAAAAAAATGTTGTTTATTTTTAATACAATTAAGTATTAAAGAAAATCATAGCAGGTAACTGGCTAAACTCTGAATAGAAGTATTTTTAAATATGCTGTCCGTGGTGTTAATGAACACATTGGCGTTGCCGCGTGTGGCGTTCCGGCTGTGCGGCTCGCTCACTCGCTGTGATGTCACACTGACATCCACCTAAAAGGCCTCTCATCTCCCTCCAGAAGATCAAGACACCGGCAATTTGTGGTGAGATTTACTGAATGAAACCGGCGGGGCTCTTATCTGGGAGAAATTAATTAAACACCCACACAGCAGGGCACCTGGACACTGGCTTGCTTAAAACTTTCAGCTGAGGTGAGAGATATCACTAAAAATAGCTATGAGACTAAGTTAAGACACAAATCCATCCTTCTGGCAGATAAAGAGCATCTGGCAGACAGTGTGATGCACAGGCTTCTGTGAGATCACACTGCAGTACCAGTTGGAATATCGCCAGCTGACCAAGAAAGATTTTGGTACCTCAGCATAACAGTAACAATGTTGGGAAAGGGTTAAAAAGGACGTTGAGACTATCAGAACTATACAAAATAAATATATGTGAACTACTCAGTCAGGTATACAAACCATGGTATTTATCCCATAGCCTGCATTCACTCCTCTGTCGTCTCTCCTTCCCGTTGGTTACTCTCTGTCTGCCTTTCGCCTCCCTGTTAGCTGGCTGTAGTCAGGGCGTCTCCGACAGTAACAAGCTGTGCTGAGAAAGCTTTCCACTGGCCTTGGTCGCGTGCAAATAAAGATTCTGATTTTACTGCTGATGCCCTTGCAAAGACATTCAGATGTTTTAATCTCCCCATCACCAGCTGCGTGTTAATGTTGTTGCAGTTTAGACGTGACTGTAGTCTGTCGCCTCCTGAGTTTTCGAACCCGTGTAAATTTGGGTCTCCTCCAACCCACCGTTCAGCAGCACTGCAGTTAATGTCGGGATTCTCCATTTTCACAACCACCCCCTCCCTCCCCCGACACACAGACACATTCTTTTGAGGTATGTGTGCTTTTGTCACCTATGTGAATGTATATAGAAACATAGAGAGTGTATGCCCCCCCCCCATCCCCCGCTTTCAGACCAGGCAAATCAATCTGCACATCAGAGAGGCAGTAATCCACACACAATGCTAGCAAGGTCACCCATGTGACAGCTCTTCATTCGCGTCCAGCTCACGTGCCTCGGAAGAGCCTTGATTTTTCACTGACGCAGAAAAATAACAAAATGAAAAGGTAATCTATGAATTTATAAAGAAAATTTAAGTGTGTTATTCATGTAAGACATACTAACAGGGGGACGGCCTGTCAAACATCCCTGGCCTTTACCGGCTCCATCCTTCTTAATGTACTTGGATGGTTCTGCCAACTTTCTGCCTTTAACTGGAAATTTATCCCATCCGGCCTTCAGATCTGAAGGTTCTTGATAAGTACTTTGGATCTAGATGAAGGAAGTTAAAGGTTATAAAAAGATCTCTCCTGAAACAGTCCAGGTTCTCCATCTTGTTCTTGAGCTCGGCGCCTGACTCTTACCTCGGATCAAAGACTGGAATGTGGGTGCGGTTCCCCAAACACTGCGCCAGTGGCTGCTGGCCCCTGAAACGGACCCGGGGTAACGCAGTGAGCAGGAGGGAGAGTTGTGGCCAGCGTACACTTTACCTCGCGGTTCCCGCCGCTGCTAAAGGCGGATCGCTCCACGAATGGTTTCGACCCGACGCCTTCCTGTAAGCCGATAATAATAATGTCCGACGGTATCACTAACACAAATACACACACAGTGCAGTGTCTGTTAATTAACAGCCCACACAGAGATATTCTATCATACACACATTATATAATACAGGTCCTCACACTCCATGATTAATGTATATCTGTTTATATAATTATAGTATATTTAATAGTTGTTTGTCCTGCAGGTGTAATTAACAGCCATAACTTCTCTGCTTTTCTGAGAGGATGTTGTGTAGGTCATGGGGTTCAGACGCCTGTGATTGGAAAGTCACGGATTCGCATCCCATGTTCAGCAGAGTGATGTCATCATTGGGCCCCTTAACCCCAAACTGCCCCAGGGACAGGCTGACCCCAATTTCTCCAAACATCTTCTAAGCCAAATCCCTCATGCATGTAATAATGTCCTCTGTTTGATTTCATCTGATACAGTCTGCTTATCTGCCTTTATTGCAGGAAAGAGCCCATCGCCTCTGCCGAACTGGGGTATCTGTGTGCCTTTAAGACCAAATCCGAAGCATTAATATGGCATTGAAAGGTTCTCCTTTCCGACAGGAAGCTGGTATGAAATGGCTACCGGACCTCCTGGCCCCAGAGCCCAAATTGAATTTAACCTGCCTACAACATCCCTGTTACAGAGACATCAAATGCTCATGTGTTAGAATTAAACCAGCTTATGTGTGACTTGGGGGGGCACCCAAGTCACACGGGGATTTCCTGATCGTCACCTGTCATTTAGTCAGGGAGCGACTGCGTAGCCCAGTCTGCTGCTGGCTGCACTCAAATCAGACTCCTCCCGATATAGTGCACTTTAATGTTGCTTATGGTGTACATATCAGTCAACGATGCCAATCAGTTTCAGGGGTTTGCAGAGGGCGTCTATTCAAATGCCGTTTTGTGCATCCTAAACACATATAAACTTTATATTTGAACATAGGCTTCTCCCTTTAGCTAATGAGTTTGCCTACGTCCATCACCACCCGCTCTCTGCGAAGTGCAGCTCAGGCTAATCAGTCTTGTCCTTACAGAGTGTAATTAAGGACCGATAATGACGTTTACTCAAGGTTTCGCCTGTGCTATTTACAAATACTGCAGCCCCTGAGTTAAACCAAGAAATGTGAGTCACTTAATTCGCCTCACGGGGGCGCTGTTTCAATCAGAGGCTGCTGCTCTGCATCTGCATGAGGACACCCAAGGCCCCGAACCAAGGTCACGGCTGTGTCAGGAAGGCATTTTCTCTTTATTTGTACATCTTATCTTTTTCCTCGCGACACAATCTGAGCCCTAACTTCGTAGTGGGCACCTTTCCAAAGGACGGAGGACGGAGCAGTTCTGCCTGGTTCACCTGCACGTTACGTTTCGGACGCCGTGTGGCCGCGTGACTGCGCTGGTGCACGCGGGCTGCGTGTAGGAGGTTTCGGTAAGGGGCGGAGGGGGGGGGATGACTGAATAACTCAGAGGAAGTCGCTCTGCTCTAACCCCACACACACTCACACGCTTTTGTTTGCCCTGCATTCAGACTCAGGCCCCACGCCCTTGAATAACCGAGGCAGCTGATAACTTACCAGCGCTCCTGTACTGCGTGGTGATGCCGTGACTTAACAGCTCTGTCTGATCGATCGGCTCCTTTTAAAGCTGATGCGTCACTGTCACCTACATGGGTTGGGGTGGGGTTGGGAAGGTACCCATTTGCTGTCTGTTTTTTCTTCCCTAAAGACTAAGAGCCCCAGTGAGATTAAAGGCACTATACACACACTCACTTAACAGGCCCGCTCTCCCTGTAAGTCGCTCGTCCAGCATCTGAAGATCTCATTTAGTCAGCATCTCAGAACCCTTCCTCAGACACATAGGTGTACAGCTATCAAAGGCACTGGTCAGGCTACTGCAAACAGGAGCATCTGTCCTGCGTTTCTTCACCAGCTCTGCTATCTCCAGACATAAGCTGAGTATCACCGGGAGTCTGGTGACGTGTGACGGAGATTGGCTTCCTTACAGAGAGGTGTGTTATGATATTAACGCCCACAGAGAGCAGAGAACAGCAAAGCTATCTGTTTTCATTCTCACACTGCGGTTCTGAAGAATTCAGCCCGCCTTCGTTCAGTGATATTATGGGCAAATACGGTATAGTGCGTGTAAGATGGAAAATATCAGGCAGCTCTTTCCGGGGGAGGGGCGGGGGGGCATTACGTGGAAAGGTCAACCTCAGTCACACATCAAGCTGTGCAGGGCCACAGTGTGTGCCTGTGATGACCAAACAATCCACAAACGGCAAACTCTGCCTCGGAACCTCAGAATGAAACGCATCGAATGCATATATTTCAGTCTTAGGTCATTTTATTAACTTAAGTAACAATGATGCACCATTTAAAAAAAAAATATTATTATTGTTATTAATATACATATTGGCTAATTAATTACCAACCCTGGCAAACAAGGCTAATTAAACGCTCCCTCACATCACACACGGCCACAGTTTGCAACTCCTTCAAGTGATTTATGCTTAAAAACAAACTCTATAGGACTTTTACATACTGTATGTCAGCTTACAGTCATATTTAACATGTCGTCGAGGTTGGTCGGATTTGGATACTGAATAAGACCGTGTATAGGCTATGTTAATGTATTTAGCACAATACGGTCGTATTCGGTGTAAATATTTACAGAGCCCCTACGCCGTTGGCACATTGCCTGCCGGATCAAATCTGTTGATTTACTGGAAGTAAACCGATCCAGAATTTAGCAGAATTTCGGCGAAGACCTGCTTGTCATTAACAGGAAACCATTTCATTAAAATTACCCGATATAGAAATATGAATTCTTTTTACAGCCGTATATATATTTCATTATATCGCGTGTCACCCATGCGACAGTTAAAAAGAAAAGCAGAAACAAGCGGCTAAAATCAGTACAGTGGAGAAATTGCCTAATTACAAATATTGTACAAACACTTTACAGTTTCCTGTCTCATGTCATACATCATCGGCCGCGTAGAGTTGAGTTTTTTTACATTTGCTGAAGGAATATGACTGCGTGATAATAAAAAAAAAACTAAAAAAAAACTTGCCGATCATGTATTGTGATTTTATTTTAATATATGCAATAAAACATTGCTATCTTAGGTACGATCGTGACTCATTCGGTAATACTGCTGCCTCACACTCCAGCGGTGAGGGTTCGAGTCCCATCGCTGCTCCGCGTGCGGAGTTTGTGCGTTTCCTTCACAAGCGCGTGCACTAATTGGCGCCTCTGAATGCTCCATAATCCTCATGACAATCGGTGACATACAATTAACGTCCTGAAAAAATCAGTATCCGATAAACTTACCTCGGATGCGTGTTGAACCGATCTTTTGCTGCGAATCCAAAAATTCGGAAACGCAGAAGTTCAGTCTTCGTTTATTTCGGCAGACTTCAAACGAAATACAACATTACGCATCCCTCTAACTGAGATTCACTATAGTACAGTGGACCGAGAAGACCGGCTCCCGGTTACCAGGCTGGGGTGAACGGCTCTCCACATTACGTTACTCAGCGCGCCATCTTCCGCTAGTAACCAGGTAACCGGTTTCTGGCTTGAAGGCGCTCCGGGGAGCGGCATGGGAGGTATGGAAATAAATCACCCCGCCCCCGGTGCCACTTTAGTCTGTGTAAGTCAGAGCGAAATATGGCGTGCGCTCTTCTGCCGGGAAGCCACTGTATCCTGCACCGTTTATGGAGCTCAGAATATTGTCCACACATAAATATGCATCATATTGGAGGACACGCTTTATTTCATTTCAGAAACAACGACAAACCGTGGCCGTATATCCCAAGAGGCGAGTTACCCCAAGCCACGGGAGAAACCTTTTAAGTAACCTTAAGTATTGTTGTACCAAAGGCGAGGTTTTCTATGCAGAAATGTGGCCTAAGCGCCAGTAAAGCCACTTAGAAAGACGGGGTCGCCGTAGTATGTAACCCTACCGATGCATAAGTGCGCCCCCACTGCCTCCTTTTACACAGGTGCACTTGCACGTGAGTAAACGATCATAAAAGGTGAGTAAAAGATATGTTATGATTAAAAAGATGCGTAACCTGCGTTTACCCTCGACTACACCAGGGTTGCCACCTGGCTGGTATGATATTTTAATATTTATATTCGTCTGCACATGCATGTGTGTAAATTACCCTACAAATAGTCTGTACGATTTGCAAACTACCCCAATGCTTCTAATGTAGGTATGTGAAGGAAAATTTAAAACTCAACCAAATTAAATGCCAATGGTACCACTGGAAAGAGCTTGAATAAACAAAGACAATGACACCAAAATCACTCAGATATCTTAACAAATAAGGAAAATATTGGCAAAAGAAGTTCGCTAATTAGCCCTATTTTTTAAAATGGAATGTGTGTAGAAAACTGTGACCAAATACCTAACTTTTTATAGAAAAACGCTTGTAGTTTCCTTAATAATCAAGATATCTCAATGAAACTTTCAGGGAAGGTGTATCTCTTTATATTCTTCAATCTGAAAGAATAATATATATTCCAAGTATGTCCTTAGTCTGAAATAAAATTGATACAAGGTGAAGACTGGAATGGTGTATCAACAGGCGCCGCTGTTGGTTTAGGTCACGTGACCATATGATTATCTCTTATCTTCTGCGTAATTAAATGCGACTCAGTGGATATAATCATCTTTTTCACATCTTAAGATATTTCCCTAATATCATGGCATATTGATGCAACAAATCACTGATGAACATACAGCAGATTTCAGGATTTTTGGCCCGTGACGATCCTGTATGCTGCCGGTCCTGGTCAGTAAACTTTTTTTCTGATCCATAGAAAGCTATGAAACTGCAGGATTAGAAAGATGAAATGATAAACAATATGTCAATTTAGCTTTCAAAAGCGTCACTTAATCCTTTGAAGTGGTTTTTGTATGTTGAAATCGAGTGTATTTTTCAACGTTTCCGGGAAAGGTCTAAATGTACACAGAATTGAAAAATTCAAAACGGAGGACGAAGAGGGGTTCCCCATCTATGTTATCAGTGGGAATACCGCGGAATTCCGCAATGCGATACAATAAGAATGCGTATTTTCCGGGGTATACCCAGCGCTCAGATGACCCGATGGTGGAACAGGAAAAAGGCGGCCATGATAGGTCGCGCTCTTCACATACCTATCTAATGTAGCTGATTTTAGGTTTATAATTCAGTAATACAGATTTGCTGTAAGATTTCTTGTGAGACTGAAAGCGTGAGTGTGACGTCAGACGCGTGACAGTTGGCAGCCCTCCTGCATCCCTGTGTGGCGCTTAGGATGGTTCAAAGGGCCATAAAAATTTGGAACATAATTTGACTGGTCTGGGTTGGGGACCCAGTATGGTATGGTTTCATGGGGCCCAAAATCTCTAGCGGTTAAGGACTTGATTTGGTCAAAACGCACATATAAAGACTGGGGAAGACGCATATTAAGTTGCAAGGTACTTTATATCTTGTAACAGGATACATTTTAAGGACTTAGCTTTGAAAAGAAAAAAAAAACATCCCAATAGCCAGAAAGCGATTTTAGACATTTAATTAGGACTTTATATTATAATTCCAGAGCGCGGCCTTGCACTTATGCCTCCATCTTCGAGGCGATTATTCCGGTCAGATGGGAAATGAAACTACTCTCAGTCGCTCACCTATTATCCTTCGCAGGCGGCGCGCGCAAATATCTCCCTAATCTTTCCAAGGATTACTTTAGAAATGACTTCTCATCTCCTCGTTGGCGTGGTGAGCAGAGCTTTATGTCAGTGTTTTAGCCTTGGTAACATCTGCCCTTCTATTGGAGGCATTCAGAATTTCAGAAGTATTGCTGTACGTCCCGCTGGCTCCCAGTGACGGCCAGCGGTGGGTGTTAGGGGGATTGGCACGTGTCGCCCTTCCAGCGCGGTCCGTACTGTATGGCATTGGGATGCTCTTTCTGATTCAAATTCTCATTAAGTTCGTGCATTGAAAATGTCTCCAGCATCAAGTTAAATAATTACAGTGTCCCTTAATTAATCCTATGAAGAACACCGCTCACCAGAAAAATACTGCGTTTCTTGTAGGGTATATCAGAGTACGTATTATACTGGAAAAACTTGTAATCAATATGCGTGTAAGTAATACCATACAGGTTAAGCGCATATTATTATTATTATTATTATTCTTATTATTATTATTATTGCATAAGGTCGCAAGCTGACATTGGTAAGACAAGCTGAGGATCGTTATCAGAAACAGATCGTTCCCTAATGAGCTGTCAATACGGTCGGTGATTACTGAAAAGGTTAATGATATCATGTTTACTTTTATTGTGTGATGAATGCAACTGTATCTTCAGAACTATTTAATAACAAGTAAAATCAGGCTTAATAGCATATGGCAATGTCCTGAAGTAATGTTACACGCTTGTTATAAAGAATGGGTTATTTCCATAATATGTAAATGTTAAAGCCTTAAACCTAAAATGTCTCTGTATCTCTGTATAACTATTTTTGCATCGGCATTAATTTTTTTTGCCTTTACCTTGTTTTACGACAGCTGATGACATTGAATATTAACGTTTAATTGTATAGCTGGCACTGTTTAGTGGATTTTAGAATATTACAATATGCAATGGATAAATGAATATTACAATTCTTATATTATTTAACCGAAGACTTAGGTGGGTAGTAACTAATCAACAACTGAGTTCAGATGCAGAGAGCGACCCCTTGGGATCTGATTGGCTGAATGCAGTGTTTTTTGTGATGTCATCCTCTACACCAAGACTTGCATGCTGCATACTGAAATAAATTTGCCTAGTTTTTTTGCGGGACTCAGGGTCGCTGTCCTGAGAATACTGCTCACTTTGTAAAGCACTTTACTCTGCCTCGTAGATAAATGAATCTGCTCAGTTACTTGTCACTGTAAAATGGTAACTGCAGATGTTTAGTGACAGCAGAGGTGCTCGTCTTTACTGGCTGCTGATGTCAGGAACAGAAGCGGCTTGGGGTCAGAGGGATTTTCAGATACAAAAAATATGGCCGCTTTCTTTCTCTGGGAGAAGTCTTTTTATGGTGTGAAGAAAGCTCAAGAATGACAAAGCAAAACATGAAGTTATTATTTTTGTTTACATCTGTCACATTGTTTGGACAGGGTTCTCCTTTTGTTAATGAGCAATCATGTGACACTTGTGGAGTCAGTGCTCAGGTTGAGTGAGTGACTCACCTGTGACTCAGTGACTTGGACTCTGCCCCTTAGGACTTATGTACTTGGGACTGAAGATGTGACATTTCCTACTGTGAAGGATCTATTTTATCCGCATCTCCTGTCTTCATTGGCCTTTCTGCAGCCCCACCTGCTGTATTGATATGTCTGATAAGAAATGGGCTGAAAGCAGCGGCCTGGCAGGGATTAGCGTGAGAGCCCAGCTTGCGGTTAAGCTCGCGGTGTTTTTGACAGAAACAATGGGGCCGCCTACAGGAGATCGATAGCTCATTACTTGACTGAGACGTTTCCCTGTTTGCTGCCGTTTGCTCCCCCTGAAGCCTCTAGGGCGATTAATCCTGCCGTATTTACTTGGAGTTTCTTCAGCTTTTCTAAACTCTGGACATAGTCTTTCTAGGTAAAAAATCCTTGGGGTTTGACTTGGATTTTGGGAAGCTGACCACGGATGCATTGGTCTGATCACATGGTCATGATTTCGGTCTCTGACCGTGGAACGACGAGGGACGTTTTAGCGACATTTTTTATGTCATGCATGATTTCACTGAATTATTATTATCCCTAATGTGCTGTGGGGGTAAGCAGTGAGTGTTGAGTGACTTAACATGTTCAGGGTTGAAACCCTTTTTGATTCTATGAATGTAATGGGTAATCAGTGTCACGGAGAGTCATGAAAGAGGTGTGACTGAGCCGCCACACAGGGTAGAGTGACAGACGGCGACGTCACAGACCTGGGGACGGCTGCTCGTCCGTGTCCCAGCATGCACCTGTGCTGCTGCAGACTGGAAGCGCATCCCCTGCATGTGGATTAGAGTGGCCATTGCAGACCTATTTGTAGACTTCATTCCCTCTCTCTGTGGGTCCCTCGCAGAGTTCACTTCGATTTCAGGTGCTTTATAGTCATGTCCATAGCCTGGGTTTTCGAAGATTGTTCTTGAACACAGCAGTAGTAATAAATCCATTTCTTCTTGCCCGTCTGTCTATTCACTATTGCTTATTTCTTAGTAAATATGTAGTATGTTCTAAATAATAAACAACAGCTTGTGCAAAGGCACAGCAGAGGTTAATGGACACATTTGTCTGACCTGCAGGCTTTAGGAAGCTTTCTGCTTTTATGATGATCATGCTGTTTGTAGATGTCCCGCCTCACAGGCGCGTTTGTCTTTATTTCTCATATAATTTTTAGAAAATAAGCTGAAAGTTTTAGTTTTAAGCAAATGTATTGAGTACTATTTAATTAAATTTCAGTTTAAGTAGTGTAGCATTTCGTTATTTTAAGTACATGACCCCAACGGGATCGTTAGTAATGCTGCTTTGTCTTTATTGACTAATTGCTTGTTTGCTTGTTGAATAATCTGTAGTAATGTGTATCTGTTGGGGGGGGGGGCTTTTATTTGTCTGTTGTTTAGTGGGTGGGGGTTTCTAATGTATGCATTTTATCTGATTTTTAAATCAACCTTAAACTGAAGGTTTCCAAATAAACTGGAAATGACAGCAGTTTCATTATGTGCTGTGTAGCTGTACGGGTCAGCGGCATGGAGCCCTTATGCTGCGTTATCATTGGCTGATGAGGGCAGGGCGTCTCCAGGCCACCCCTGCTCTTCCTGTCTGTGACAGTTATGCCTAACCAGGCATCTGGCCTTTTCATCAGTAAGACCTGAGCTGCGAAAGGCCAGTGCTCATTGGCTGGCATGGGGGAGGGGGGTTGCTGACACACATGAGCACTTCCTCGTTATTGGAGTGTCTTCCTGGGCTGTGGGCAGCTGGGAGCCAGGGAGGGGGTGGGCTAAGGTGGGGGCAGTTGGAAGGCATGTCCTGGCCAGAGGAATACGAATGTGAGGTGTACCTTCTCACTGTAGATGTACCTATGCCGTATCCGGGGCTTTTGAAGGAAGTTCAGAGGGTCCTACATTCATAATTTAGCATTGAATATTGCTGTAAAGCTGTTCGGCGCAGAGCTTTGGTGCAGGGACAAAACAGACTATTGCTAACTGACTGATGTCGTCGTGGGCATGATGGAAGACAGTGTGAGAGAGACTATTGACATTGGCCCACTTTACCTGGGTATATGGAAAGAAATACCATAAGTCTGTTTTCATTACTTGGCCTGATTATCTAATAGAAAATAACAGAACGTTGTCTAAATGGATGAGATGTTCTTTTTGGACAAATTACCAAAAAGAGAAACCCTTTTGCTGCATTAAATGGGTCCACCAAAATATGAATTTTACTCAGTAGTTTCGAATGTTTAGACTGTTAAGAGCCACATTGGGCATTATAATATACCTCTCAGTTACTGCTTCGTATTAAATGGACCCTTTCATAGTGGATTATTTTATACTCTAAGGGCACAGATTTGGGTATGGATGGTAGGGACATTTACCCACCAGTACTGTGGGAGTACCATGTGTGTTTAGTAGTTCGGGGCTGATTTGGTCCCTACAAGTGGTGAAGCCAAACTTGCTTGACGTATTACTCATTCTTGTATGATTATGATTGTGTACGAGGTATAAAATGTGTGTGTGTGGTGTGAAGTATTATACTAAGTACTAATTTGTATAAAAATCGGTTGATGAAATTGCTGAGCTCGGGACTTCGGCGGTTGGTGCCCCGTAAATCTAACACAGCCCCTTTGGTCTAGCCCAACGTTGTGTGATGCTCACCCTTTGCTTGGGAAGGGATCCCTCTGGATGACATGAGGTGACAGGGTTTTTTTTGGTGGTCGGAGCATACCATGTGAGAGGGGTGTTAATCTGCTAATCGGCTGCCTTGCATCCCATGGTTCGTGCAGCTGGTACCCAAAGGCGGATCTTTAAATCTCCCCCTGAGAGTGGTCTGCCCTTTAGCTTGCGATACACTGGCCATCTAGAGAGCCTGTAAGGGCCTTAGTCTTCCTGCTCCTTTCGTTTCCCCCTGCTGTCCCTCCTCTGTGGTATAATCACATCCTGAACGACCCCTGCTGCCTCGAGGGCGAAGCTCTCGGTGGGAGGATAAGAGGAACGGAGCTGAGGGTGACTGAGGGTGACAGAGAGTGACGATCTGTCGTCACTTGTGGCGGCACACGGCTGGGACGGGGGAAGCAGCGGAAGGGCCCAAATTGAAATAGTAACGTGGTGGGGGTATGATTTTCTGGTGGAAAAATGAGGGGGTGGAGCCTGGCATTGGTTACACTGCTTTGTAATGCCGTGCGCTTATAATAGTGTCATCGCTAGACATTGTAGGGACCGGGAGTGAAACAATGATCCGCCATCATTCTGTATTAAGCTACTGAGTTTCCCCTTGAGATCCATAACTAATCACTATCTATCTGTCTAGATTCGATTACAGTCTCTGATGTAAACAGCTTATTGTCTGGTCTGGGTGTAGAAGACAGTGTTTTTTGAAGGAAGGTTTCAAACATGCGGGTATTTATCCATTCTTTGGCGGGTGTTTGGCTTAGAGGGCATTGCTACTCTTCCTCCGAGTAAATGTCCCTGACCTCATCGTTCACCAATCAGAAACCTTGTATTAAACAAGCACCAGCAGCCAATGTGAGCACACATGTGCACAGCTGTTCCTGTTCACAGCCCCTGCGTTCACTGATGATGAAAAACTTGCTGCCCTTTATCTGGGTAGCGTTAAGGATCGGGCTGGTGATGTAAACATTACGGGTTCAAATCTCACATCAGGAGTTGCTTTCAGAGGCACAATTTGCACCAGAGAACCTGGGAAATAAATCTGCCAAATAAGTATGCATGATAAAGGCCAGCAGGTGGCGCAGCAGTTAAAACTGCAAATTGAGCAGTTCTGCCTGGGATAGAGCGGCAGATACGGAGGTAATAATGTTTCCTAACCTAAAGCACGCATGCTCTGTATGGCCGAGGCCGCTTCTGCGTCTGAAAGGTCCTCTGCACATTGACCTGAGCCTCGCTGTGGAGCCGCTGCAGCCGCAGGGATCCTCATCCGCTCCTTATTCCATGAGCGCGGCGGAGCGACACAGAGCAAAACGCCCCCTAGTGGCAATCTGCTGCCAGACCACGTTTACTTTCTGTCACCCCACCCCGGGAAGGACTGTGTGGACAAAGAAAATCAAATGGCTGCACGAAATAGAAGATCCGTTTATTTAAAAACACAGACACACGTGTGCACACACTCCCCAGTAAAGAGGCTGCATTAGTGAATGCAATGCAGATCCAGGCAATATTAACAGAGGTCTCAACTCAGAGGTATCTGACACTGAACTCTATAAGTCAGTGTAGGATCACTCTCACATATGGCAAGCTTTGTAAGTCTCTCTCAGGCACATACACCTTTATACGTTCCTATGTGACCTTTCAAGAACATCCAGTATACAGGCAATCCCCAGGTTATGGGCGAGATCCGTTCCCAGAGTCTGTCTTAAAGTCGGATATGTAGGTACGTTGGAAAAGTAAATGCAGTACATAATAATAATGATAATTATAATAATTATCATTATTATACAGTAAAAAGTAAATACGGTACTGTACTATACCTCTAGCCAACAAACCGGTGAAGCCATGCAATGTTTTCAGAAGTGTCAAAGTACTGCCTGCATTCACTGTCATTGACCCAAATTATTAATATATCAGGATTTAAGGCAGTCCATCCGTAAGTTCAAGTTGTCCGTAAGTCAGGCGCTTGTAAATGTATTAACATCATCGGGGACCGCCTGTAAATGTATTAACATCATCGGGGACCGCCTGTAAATGTATTAACATCATCGGGGACCGCCTGTAAATGTATTAACATCGTCTTAACATACAGCCATACACTGTTGCGCACAGAGGAAGCTTCACTTAAATAGTAACATTTCAATAACGGGACAAAACAAATCGTGATGATGATAATTGTAATGATGACCTAGTGGTTTCACCGTCGTTTTCTGGTCCATATTCGTTTTCATGAAGATCTAGGAAGTCGCACAGAGGTAGAGAGGTAAACGTTAGGCTCACTTTGAAGCAGGGTAAGGTAAGGTAGGGATTACACCGCAAACTCTGCATGGTGACATGGAACAGCCTCGAAATGCTGGTACTCTACTTTTTTCTGGAACGGGTGAGTATTTCTGTGTGTGAGGGAATCTGTGACCTTGGTGCACGACGCCGCCTTTTACACCCGTTCTTAGGCTCGCCTGCACTCACCCTCAGAGTAGCTGGCAGGAGTTCTTCTTAACTTTGGTGGGCTGGGGACACAGGACGGCGCGGATGGCCTCGTCAAAGACGGCCTTCAGCCCCCTCTGCGTCAGGGCAGAGCATTCCAGGTACTTCACAGAGTCTGCCAGGGAGAGTCGCAGAGAATCATGCACCTCATACAGTCATATGTCAGACGCAACAACCGTTCCCGCTTAATGTGCTCACTGTGGATAGGGCTACGAATTCAGCTGTCCCGCATATTAGCAGGATTACAGTAACTCATTAAAAACCACACCCCCTTTTTAACCACTCCCCTTTTACTTAAACTGCTAGCATTTTGTCAGATATTAAGCAGCATCTTAGAATGTAAGAGAGCATGAGAAGTCTTATGTAAAATAAAATCATCCAAAATATTGATATTGGAAGGTACAGACTTGAAACTAGTCATTTATAAGCCTGCAGTGGAACCAAACGTGGTTGTTTTGCAGATCCCCAGCTGTGGTGTGCTAACCCTAGCACCCTAATCATTATTAAGCTGATAATATAATATAATCAAATACAACTTGTGAATAATATGCAGAAATTCAGTCAAGAACGTCCAGAATGGCCAGTATGTAAGCATGTGTAATTAAACGTATATAAAATGTGCAGCCTACCAATCTCTTTGGCCAGAGCTAGTCCTTGTGGATACGTTATGGGAGTCAGCTTCTTCTCCTTCAGCTTCTCGATGGTTTCCTTCTCGTCCCGGAGGTCCAGCTTGGTGCCCACAAGGATGATGGGGGTGGAAGGACAGTGGTGTCGTACCTCTGGGTACCACTAGGGGGAGAGGAGGGTAAAGGTCATTCAGGCGATGGTATCATGATGAAAGAAAGGGAGCTTCGAACCCGTGCTTCTGGGCTGCAGCCAAGTACTTTGGGTCACTGTAGGTGAAGGTAGGTTAGCGATTACTTCCCTCATTTAGTGTATCGCGTTAATGTGTCACTCGACACGATTGAGGCTGCTGTGTTTATCAGGCATGAAAGGCACTGTGTCTGCATTCAGTGCTGATTACATTTTTAATGTTTTTTTAAGTGGACGCTTTTGATCCAATTTGCTCTTACATCGTTTAAAACCTCCACCCACTCATAACCTTTCATTTACAGATCAGGCTCATTAACCACTGCACCCCCTGCTGCCTCAGATATTATTCGCGTCCTCTTGGAATTATGGGTACTTGTTTGCGCGGCGGGTATAATTCACACGAGAAGGCGAGCCGTCTGTGCCGCCCTGTCACCAGCTGCTGTGCCTGGTAGCTGTGAGGCGCGACTGCATCTCTCTTAAATGGCTCCTGCTGACCTTTAGCGATAGCAGCATGTTTCACACCCCGGAGGAGAAAGACACACTTGAGATGTGTGGAAATCTACAGTATGCTGTGAGTCGGCGCCTTTGAGCGAGCGCCCCGCGGTCCCGCCTGTGCACGGCACTGCAGACAGAGCCTGTCCGAGCCGGTCGCCGCGGCTGTTTGCACAGCGATAACGCCTTTTCTTGGAATATTTGGAATCTTAAGTGTAGCAGTAATTAAGAAGTTTGTCAGGAATTAAAAAGGCGGGAGGCACAAATGTGGCTGGGAATCCCGCAGAGGGCGCCCCCCACCCCAGGGAGAAGGGGGGGGAGGGGGGGAGATGTCTTTGTGTGACCCTGCCCCAGTCACGTCCCCTGCACAGTCTAGGACAGGCTCCCTGTCATCCTGACAAGGGGAAGCGGTTAGAAGATGCATGGATGTAATTAAGGCTGAAAATGCCCCAGCCATGGGGGCAGGGTCCTGTGCCCTGTGCCTTTGAGCGCCCCCTGGTGTCTCTGCCAAGCGCTGTACCCACACGCAGCAGGGCTGCTGAACTAAAGGTTACGGGCTCAAATCTCACATCAGGGACTTCTTTCAGAGGCACAATCCACACCGAAGAACCTGGGAAATAAATCTGTCAAATGACTATGCAACATAAGGGCCAGCAGGTGGCGCAGCAGTTAAGGAGCTGAAATCATCTTCTAAATTTTGGCAGTCCCCACTACCGCTGGCCAGGTGGAGATGGCTGCGGGCGAGGCCGGTGCGTACGATTGGTATGACACTGTCCCAGTGTGGTCACTGCAGCTGGCTGCCCCCGACTGTCCCCAGTGCCCAGGAATGTCAGTTTGTGTGCTTCTAACGCCTCACTGCAATACCCATCACTGCCTCTAGGGCTGAGGGGCTCGCAGAGCTACTCGTATGCTATTTAAATCAATATTCACAAATGTAAAAGAGAAACCATCAGACAGAGCAGCATGGTGGTCGGGGAGGGTCACTGCAAGATACTAAATATCCGAAGCTGGCAGTTTCGCTGCATTTGCGAGCTCCGACGTAAACATGAATTTTGCTAGTATGTGTACTGTATGCTTACATGTACACTTACACGCTGAGATCCCCCCCCCCCATTCTAAATAAGGGGCCCCTGGTTCTTTAAATAGATTTTAAGGTGTCAGGGAAACATTTTCATTTGTCACTATTGCATTTGCATATGGGGGAATGTTGCCATGGCGACTCCCTGGAAAAGATGAAATTACTTTTGTAAAAAGGGAAGGGAAAGAACACTGGGGGGTTTCTGTGGCTGGTATTTGAAGACGAGGCCGCTCACATTGCGCCCAGTGAGCCGTTCTTACACTTAATTAGAAACTGAAAGGACACTACTGAGGTTTCAGAACTAAAGCGATTCCGACGATCAGCTTTCTCGCAGATTCTCAGCCGTCTTGTGTAACTCCTGCATTTCTTTACTGGCTCATAAGTTTATGATCAGCGGTTGAAAACACTGTATGGCGGATGTTCCCGTGTTCTATATAGGGCCCTCTGGTGTCAGCCAGAGGAATTACAGGGGATAAAAAGCACTTTCCAGTCTGGTAGTGCGAATCTGCAGCGCCGACTGGGGGCTGACGCAGGGATTACAGTTTAATCAGAGATATGCCGCGGTTATTTTTAACGTGGGGAATAAATAAAGAGCAGGGCTGGCAGCGGCCGCCTGCCGGAATCTCTCATGACTCACCACCCTGGAGAGTCGCCAAAGCGCCTCCCTCCGTGGCACCCGGGGCACGGTGCTATTCGTTACCGCTTCGTTAGTGCCTCGCTGGCGCGATGCCACAGGCAGTGTCACCTCGTTAATTCTGCTGTGCTATCTATACATCAGAGACGGGCAGCCATCGCCCCCCGCCCCAGCTCCCCGCAGCCGTGTCCGCTCCGTGGGGGGAGTCACACGTCTTGGCGCTCCATCCTTATGCTCACCTTGGCTCTGACGTTCTCGTACGATGCCGGGCTCACCAGCGAGAAGCAAATCAGGAAAACGTCCTGGAAGAAGCACACGTGTACATGTTAGTGACACGTTAGTGACATGTTAGCGATGCGTTAGCGGCACGTTAACGGCAGGGGAGGGGTGGCGGGGGGACACGTCAGCCCCTGTGACGAGTCTGCCAGCTGTCTTCCTGTAACTGCCCTGCTCAGATTCTCATTTGGCTGATATCCGGCCTCCCTGGTTAGCGGGGTTGGGCTTGGGGGGCGGGGGGGGGGCTTGCTGGATTACGGGGGAGGAGATGAAATTAATTTTAAAAAGAGTGTGACTGCGTGTGAGTGCTATAGCTTAATTAATTCAACTGAACAGAGGCTTGTCTGCCTGGGGGGGGGGGGGGGGGGGGGGGGGGGGCTGTATGAGGTCGGTTGGTTTTCGACACTGGGGAGGAATCGCCGGTGGGGTGACTCTCCGAGAGCTGGAGGTTGCTGGTTCCAAACCCAGCAGAATAGCCACGTGTCCCTTGGGCCCGTGAGTGAGGTCCTTACTGGACTGAAATGCTCTGGGGTGCTGGATAAATGGACTACTTACGTGTGTGTGTGTGTGGGATGGTATAGGTGAAAAGAAGCATTCTGTACTGTATAAATGGCTAATTAAACATTATAACATTTTTTATGAAGAAGCTGAACCAAGGATGCGTGTTAGCAAGGCGCTCTCTTAGCCAGAGGCTGGGGACAAGGGGGCTCATACCGTCTGGGGGTAGGACAGGGGCCGCAGACGGTCGTAATCCTCCTGGCCTGCTGTGTCCCACAGCCCCAGGTTGACGGGTTTACTGTCCACCATGACATTGGCAGAGTAGTTGTCAAATCTGAAAGAAACATGCACATCACATCTGTGCCCGAAGTGGAACCTCATTCTGCAGAAAGGTCCTTATCGCAAGATTTCATGCATCAAAATAAATGTACTTTCTTTGGTTAAATGCCCTGTCAATGGGGGCGATATCCCTACTAGTGAGTCTGTGTGGAGGGCACTTCACATCAAAGCGGTGAGATGAGCGGTTGGCAGAATTCGTTAGTGTGCCGTTCTCAGTCTGAATATGCAGCGCATGTTGTTGCTGTCCCCTCGGAATCCTCTAGAGGGCAGTGACGCGATACTCACACAGTGGGGATGTATTCTCCGGGGAAGGCATTGGTAGTGTAGCTGATGAGGAGGCAGGTCTTCCCCACAGCACTGAAATAAGAGGACACATTTATAAATATGTACCAAAGCCTTTTTACCCTGCACGTCCGAAAAGATTGGCTCTTAGTTTATCCTATTTTCTCCTATCTTTTAATAATGTTTGCGCTGAGCAAATTGCTGTAGTCACATTGTTTCCCCATTACTGGGGCAGAAGAAACAAAAAACGGCTTCTTCGTTTTTTTTTTTTTGGTTTTTTTTTTAGGCAGGAATGCGGTCACATGGGCGCACATTGCCGTTACTCCCCAGCAAACCACACTGTGTTTACCGAGGTGCAACACCTGAAATTCCTGCCAGCAGAGGGCGCACCCAGCGAGCACCCGAGGACAGAGATGGCGAGCTCGCTCCCGAGAACTGCGTCCAAGAGTGAGGCAGGAAGAGGACGGGGATTCTGAGGTGTCAGTCTAGAGTTTGCACCAGAGCGGCCTTCCTCAGTGTCTATCATCAGCAAGTGTAGCAGTGGACTAAAGGAACACCTCGTGTTCTCCAGAGAGCGCGGCTTTGAAAGAAGGCAGGGTCTGAGGTTTCACATCTTTCCTGTATGAAACTGAGACTGAGACCAAAATAAAAGAAACAAATTCTGATGCTGACTTTTCTGTTGACTGTAACGCTGTGGTGGTTCATCAACGCTGATCTAAGCAACTAGAAAATTCTGCACAGAGTAAAACGTCTGCCTTGATCGACACGAATTCTGGCCACAGATCGCAGACTCTACTACATTTTGCTCATTACGTGGAAGCCAGTTCTCGTTAAAGAACTGCCTCTTCTTTATTACCTTATATAAACTTCTACACGCTCCGTGCAGCTTCTCCTGAATTATTATTCATAGCACATTTTTATGAGAGCGGCAGCATGAACGTGGATGCAGCCGTCGCCAGCGGAAACACTAGATAACCTCATTTAGCCCATTTTCATTACCTGCATGCTTTACTCTTCCGGCAGAGGGCAGTTTTTGGCACAACGGCACCTCTGAAGCAGGTGCTTCTGGGAATGTCAGTGTCTAGGGGTGTTTCTCAATATGCAATGTGTTTTACGTCATCTTCCATTGCTGAAGACCAGATCCCATGCTCAAGAAGAGAAGCACAGAAGACAGTAAAAATCTCAGGATGTTGTACTTGCCACTCGCCAAATATGAAGGATACATCAGTTGCATCTTTGCCAAACGACAGCAATCCCATGATTCATTGCGCCCCAAGTTCGTTCTTGGGAGGTAAGTTAGCAAGACTGCTCTTGCCAAGACCCCAAATAGTACCCTCGCATTCTTGGTATTGAGAAACATCCCAAGTTAGTCATTTTTTTCAGGACCATCTTGAACCGAAGCGGCAGGTCCCTTGTCTGCACACAGGTCCCGTCTTCTGGTTCCCCAAAGCCCAGTTGGTGCTCAGAATCAGCTGAGCTGCGTCTCTGGAGCTCCTGAGAGGTGCGTTTCCTGCTGACTTAGTCCCATGACCCTCAAAAGAGCAATTTTGCATCTCTTCTCGTGTCAGTTAGAGACGGAAGATAACAGACGATGAGCCAAATAGCTGAAGACTGGCTTCTTGTTCTCTTATTTATGCTTTTGATTGTGTAGCTTATCTGAGACATTCTCTCAAAGCATGTTAGAGTTTGAACTCTATTGTTCATACCTGTTATTTTTATAGAATGACATTTATGATTAAGTTCTTTTTAAAGCTATATTGGGATTTAAAGCTATATTGTTCTGGCCAGTGGTATAGGGAAGAGTTTGATATTGGGGGGCAGGGGCACAACTTAATCAAAATATGAAACATTTGTTTATTGGGGGATGGAATGAAACCAAATTAAATATTGGGGAGAGGGGGTGGTTGTCCCTTCAATCTCACCCGGTACCTATGCCCCCAGTTCTGGCCACAAAGTCTGTACAGCGATCTGTGGATTTGACGCAGACCAGTAGCCAGAAATAAATTTCATGGTGGTTGGCAACCCCGACCTTGGGGGAAGGCCCCCTCAGTATTTTGGATGATCGTGGAGGGGGGGGCTTCGTACATTTGTGGGGGCCTGAAGCAAAATTCGAGGGGAGTTCAAGCTTTTAATTTTGCTACCTGGGTACGTGCCTGATTGGTAACAGAAAAAAAAAATCGGATGGTTGTGCTTCATAACCCGTTATTTTACTATATGGCCTCATGCCTGGTGTGACGTGCCTGATAATCGTAATAAAAGTCATTTACATTTTTGGTTGAAATCAAATCAGACCCCAAAAACTGGTCGATCAGTGAGTGTTGCCAAACTCCTGTCCGGTCATTATGCGCTACACCACTGTAGGATGTCAAATTCGTAGATACTAACCTGGCAGAGACGCTGGAGATCGCCAAAGTATCATTTGAATTTAAATTGCTTCCAGTAAGCGCTGCCCTTTGGTGGTGCTTCTGCTTACATGGCTGGATGTGGCTAACGTGCGACCGCTTTGCACTCTGCATATATCTCACAGATCAGCCCGCGCTCCGGGCCAGCGCCTGCGCTTAAACTGCGCGTTACGAGAGACGCGACTGGCTGCTTTCTGCCTGAATGCCGGGTCAAGCAGCTGCTGACTCTTGGTTTAAAATTATGGAGTGAGCAATTTAGTTTAGATGGGTTAGTTACACTCTCGGATGATGCTGACCCCATGGAACCCTTCCTTACGAAGGATGGAGAAAAGCAGAAGAGCAGTGAATGTCTAGGTTCAGTTTCTGCCTGATTACTACCGTCTGAGCCTAACCCCGGAGCGCCGGGTCAGCGCTGCCCGCGAGAGAGTGCATGTCTCTGCCTCCTACTGCACAGCACGTGGTGCCAAGAAGCAGAAGAGGAAGGAAAAAGAGGAACTCGTTAGCTACAGAATCAACGCACCTTTCGCTCCTAACCCTACATTTACATATAACTTCCTTTCACCTTATCCACCTGAAGACCCCCCGCCCCGCCGCCCTTTCCCCATTACCGCCTCCCTACTTCCATCCCTGCCTGTACCTCGCCGTCATTTACAGAAGTTCCTGTTCCCGTTACCACGAACTCGATGTAGTTACTTTTGCATACCGATTTAGATATCCGGGCTTAAAAACTCGCATTTTACATGCAGAGGTACCGCTATTTACCCTGTGTGTAAAGTCCCAGTTCATTTAGACCGGCAGATCTTTTACTAGGCTACTTATACCTTAAAGCACTTCCGATCGTGGTTGGCTTAATGCTCCCACATACTTCATTTTCAAACTCACTTGTCATTTATTTTTGGATACTTGTACTTAGCGCCATAAACAAGTTACTATAATTGCATCAGATTAAAACGTACAGTAGGTAAATGAGTAAATGCAAACTGCAACTTTCCATACTTAACCGTAAATGGATCGGACCCCGAACAATGTAAACAGAACCCTTCCACGCTGTGCGTATCAGGGTTTATACAAGCTTTCATATTTTCCGCTATTGTTTTCTTAACTTAATGCTTATATCGGAATAATAACGTGAATATGCATATTGACCGTGTCTAAGCGAGCTTTTTTTTACATTCCAGCTTCAATTAATAAAATATAAAATTAACAAAGAAGTAACTTACCCGTCGCCCACCACCACACATTTAATGGCTTGCATCGCTTCTTTTCTTTTAACTCCGGCACTTTATGAACGAGGAGGAAACAATGTCAGCCGTCCCCAGTCTGTCTCCCTGGGTGTAGTTTCTTCCGCAGTGTCACCCTGTCCTCTCTCTATCTCCCTCTATCTCTCTCTCTCTTTCTCTCTCTCTCTGTCAGCTTGAGCTTCCGTCCTGTCAGTCGTCAGTAGTCCACTATCCATCAGATGGTCAGCAGGACACCATACGTACCCCGTTTCAATCATACTCACTTCATAAATTACCGATTAGGAAACTTAATCATAGTCATCATCGTTGTTGCTGATGTTGTTAATGGTGTTATTGATATTGTCGTTATTTTTAAGGTTTTCAAGTTATTTCAACTTCAAGTTATTTTGAAGTCTGACAAATTTACGCAATTATTGCCTCATCGCCCTTCTTGCTTCTTCCGACATGGTCTGTTGTGAAACGTCCCTAAGAGGCTCATGCATTGTGGTGCATTATGAGCATCGTCTGCGAGCCAGACATGTCGTGTGAAAAGAGGCAAATTGGTACGCTAATTCATTGGTTATGGAATATAGACAACCTGAACCTTATTATGAAGCGGACAGCATTTCCCTGGTCTAATTTACACAGTACTTAAAAAATCTCCTGCCTCCCTCCATACATCAAATATTCACAAACTTCCCTGAAAACAAAAGGTTTTCGTTACCCCGCTGTTAAAATACGCATAGTAGACTTAACTTTTTAAAAATCGCCATGTCTCTACACGGTCACCAGAGGGCGCTTAACGTTGCCTTTAAACCATCATTAACTATTTTAGAATGAATAGAATGCCTTTTTATTGTCACTATACACATGCATGTACAATGAGATTAAAAGCAGCTCCTCCAGTGCAAACATGTATGTAGAACACACAATAAACAAATAGTGCAGAAAGTTCTGCAGCGCTATATACATATGGAAGAATAACTAGGTTTTTTAAATATATAAATATAAAGTGTGATATGCACTGTGGGTTATGGCACATTATTTAAGTATTGCACAGTAATGATGAACATGTGCAGTGAGTAGTGGATGTGAGTGTATTTCACAGAAAGGTACATGATCGAGCCGAATGGTTTTTTACTTATATCGTGCTGTATGAAATACTTCGTTCTCAAGTCTCATGGTTTCCAGCCCATTTTGGCAGCTTTTTAATAACTTTTCTCACTGTTTTTACTGCAGCTAGGTTGACATGTATGGAAATGACAACAAAGAATCTTTAATCTTGAATCTCGAAACAGCATAAATAACACAAATAAGATACCCAATGCAGTAGCGAATTTCTTAAGTATGTGCCCGGGAAGGTGGCCTGGGTGAAAATCAGCCAGTTATCTAAAGCGCCAGCTTCAACCGCTCAGCCTGGCGGAAGCGAAGCGCACGTGCGGGGGGGAGAGGTGGGCTCGCGCAAACCGACTCAGCCTCCGCTGTTTGAGGTCTGAAGCCGAACGCGTCATGACCGGCCTCCTTCGTTAGAAAAGCAGATTTCCTGCTGCTGCACGTCTTTGCTTTTCTCTGACATTTCCAGGGGAGGAACTAAGTCATTTATCTTGTATGACAGATTATTTGCCACTCCGGTAAGTAGCTGCCGTGCAAACCTAACCCTTATCATTATTATATGATACAAAATTAATCTGCAAGTCAGTCAGCTGGAATAGTACTGATTTAAGTTTTTTTGCCCGATGATGACAACATATTCTGACGAGTAAATGATAGCTAAACTGTAGCAATGGTAAATTTTTTAAAGGAACCAATGAATAAACAAGTTTTGTGGCAATATTTTTGATACATATTTATGACAGCGTTTTATGGCTGAATCGGGTTTGTCAACATACTGCCCAATATGTAGCCTATCCTTGAACGCTTGTTGAACGGAGTCAGTTTTTGTGCAAACGTTTAATCAACTATAGATACCAGATCGATTCAATTGTCCGCGGTCTCCCCTATATAAAGTTATTAAACCTGTGCGTCTCGATGTGAAAATAGGAGTGATAACTATACAAAGTAAAATGCAAATGTTTATAAAGACAGAACTGAGAAAACAATAACAATATAAAATGGAAGAGTAATTTCCCGTGACTTTTCCAAAGAGCGTGATACGGGGCGTGAGGGAGCCGGTGTCCCGGCAGCTTCCCTCGCTGGAGGCTGTACCATCTCTCTCTCTCTCTCTCTCTCTCTCTCTCTCTCTCTCTCTCTCTCTCTCTCTCTGTGTCTGTCTCTGTCACTCTCACACACACACTTCTCTTTGTTTGTGCAGCATCTTCTGAGCTCCAAACTGTGAATCTGGTGCCCTGCTTCATTCCAGTGCAGTCAGGATGCTTCAAAGGAAAGACAGCTTCCTCTGGGGAAAGAGAGAAGGTAATGCCATTCTTTAAAATTTCATGATTGTCATTCATTTTGGTTGGCGGGCCATGCGGACCGTCGTCTTCCAGTGGAGAGACTTTCAAAGCGTCATTGTGTACTAGACAACGAAGAAGCCCGAGGTCTCGCTGATGTCCTGTGGAGAGCAGTTCGCGATTTAAAAGCGATGATGTTTTCACGCATGATTGTCTCGGTTTTAAACTATAGTTTGCGGTGAAATACAGTTACGCTACAGAGCATCACCGATACTCAAATGTCAGTTTCCCAGCTGCTTGGAGGCTTCACCACTCAACATGGAATTAAGTGTTTTGATAACGAGCTCAATAAGTCACAGTCACAGTGCCGGTACTTATAGGTTGTGAAGTGTTATTCATCATCACCTGCATGTTGAAATCACCATGCGTTTTTACTCTACTCACGTCCATTCACGTCACATATACAAAGAATTACTTAATCAGTTCGCAACGCGACCCGCATAGGCGACTTGGGTACAGAAAATGCATGAGCGCTTTACTTCGCATGATTTGTGAAGGAGTCCGCGTTAGGGACGTGCGGGTCGATACTTTAATATCGGTTTTGTTTATCAGAATGTTTTCCTTTTGAAATTTCATTTCTAACGCTACAATGACGATTTTAACCTGTATTGAAAATTGAGAAGCTGTGCTGTGTTTTGAACCAATAGGTCTGCGGGATGCAGTTCATCCCGCATTTCACTACACATTGTATCATACATACATTCGGTCAGAAGTCGCCAGGAATCGAATTATTTATTCAGAGTGAAAGTGGCAACCGTACCCAGAGAGAACGGGGAAAGATACCGGTACCAGAATCAGGACTCCAACCTTGGTATAAGATCAAAATGGATATCATACCTAGTCCAGTGCTTGAAGTGGGGCAGTACCAACTGGTATGCGGTACTAGTACCACTTAGTTTTCTCTACCAGGAAGGTGCCCTACGTACTGGTACTGAATAATAAGGGGCGCACTGCCACTTCAAGCATTGCCCCAGTCCTCATTATTTTTACTGCCCCCTAGAGGAAAAGAGTGGTAGCTGCTGGTAGATGGGTATGTTGATGAACATGGACAGGGTAGAGGCGTGACTGCAGCCGGAGCAGTTACCTGTCTGCATGCACCTTAAAGGGGAAGCATCTCTGTGCCTCGCCAGCTTCCGTTCTTTCTTTAATGATTCTAATTGAATGTTACTATTTTACTGGAACAGGAACACTTGAATTTCAAATATTTTATTCTTGTCTTAGAACAGAATCACTTACCCCTGCTGATCTGAGAATTAACTAGTGTTTTTGGCCATAACTAAAACGTGATAAGGTTAAGTGGCGAAGTTGAAGATCTTCAATTGAAATAGTCATTGTACAAATGCACATTTGAAAAAGGAAATGTTCAAGATCACATTCCTGTTTAATGGTTCTGTTACTGACTTCAGAAGCAGAAGTAGATATATATGGCCAGATGGAGTAGAGTTGTCTTTAGCGTAGATATATATGGCCAGATGGAGTAGAGCTGGCTTTAGCGTGAAGGAGGCTAACGAGGGTGATTGGTGTGTAAGCAGGCTGATAGTGTCAGAGTGCGCTGGGCTCCTGCCCAGCTGATAGCATCTCCATTTCTTTGAGTTCTTGGCCTTTCGTCAGAAAGCTGCAGGTTTCACACACTTGTGGCGACAGTGACTCAAGTACATCTGGGTATCGGCTGTAGCACTGATGGTTAGGTCGTGTCACACTAACCGTCTAAAGTCTGGGGAGGTGGGGGCAGGGGGGTGCACATAAACCACGCAGGCCACTTGACACCGTCTTTGACACTCAGTTTATCGGACTTTCCAAACACACAAATACACAAACCGATATTCATATCTTTGTGGGGACCATCCATTCATTTCTATGGGGAATCCTCTAATCCCACCTATAACAGCCTTAACCCCCACCCACCTTAACTATGAGCATCCAAACAAAATACAAGACTTTTGGAGTTGTTAGTTTTTTGATTGGAGTCACAGATTTTTATAAAATTGAAATTTCCCAATGTGGGGATTGAAAAAATGGTCCCCACATTGCCAAAATAACATGTTGTTGTTTTTTTTTTAAATCACATTTTGGGAACATTTGGTCCCCACAATGTAATAAATATATAACCCACATACAGAGACACTTTATGTAAATATTAATTTCAACTGATAACTGAACAGACTCTGTTAATGTAGGTGTACTTATACCCAGCGGGCAGCGCCATGGCGAGGTGTACTTATACCCGCGTGCAGCGCCTTGCCGAGGTGTACTTATACCCAGCGGGCAGCGCCATGCCGAGGTGTACTTATACCCGCGTGCAGCGCCTTGCCGAGGTGTACTTATACCCGCGGGGAGCGCCATGCCGAGGGGTACTTATACCCAGCGGGCAGCGCCTTGCCGAGGTGTACTTATACCCAGCGGGCAGCGCCTTGCCGAGGTGTACTTATACCCAGCGGGCAGCGCCATGCCGAGGTGTACTTATACCCACTGGCAGCGCCATGCCGAGGTGTACTTATACCCGTGGGCAGCGCCATGCCGAGGTGTACTTATACCCGTGGGCAGCGCCATGCCGAGGTGTACTTATACCCGCAGGAAGCGCCATGCCAACAGTGCAGTATGCATGGCATGGCACCATATCAAGCATTTAGCATCACTGTACTGTGAAAAGTGGCCGGATGGAGAGTAAGACAGTAAGACAACCAGTCGTTTTAATAGTTAAATAAATGTGAAAGTTACAAGCCTTATAACTGTGTGTGTCTGTTTGTGTGTATGTTCCTCACAGACATGAAGATACAGCCAGTCAGAACCCTCAGCGTGCAAAAGAGTGACATCATGGGCGATATTAAGGTAGCGATCAAATCTGACAGGTTCTTGTGGGGTGAATTGTGATGTCTGTACTCTCAAACTAAAGCAGCGTTTCCTATGCACAGCCCAGGACTGCATGAAGTGTCATTAGTAAGCAGGAAATCCAAGTGTCGTTGAGCAGTGACAGCCCAGCTCACGTTATGTGACGTTTTTCCTGTGTGTTAACTGACCTCAACACCTTGCAAAACCTACTGTTGCTGCAGCCCCTCGATTGCCTGTGTTTGCATTGCAGAAACTGAGGCTGGAGATCGACAACGTCATAAACGAGATCCAGATCTTTGACTCTGATGAGAAAAAGTAAGTCTCGCTGCCCCCCAAGAGTACCGAACACCATCCCAGACTTGCACAGTATTCATAATGTGTATTATGTGCTTAACTACATTACGATTATATGAAATACATACGGACCTAAACCTTTGCTGTAAATTTCTGCCTGCACTGCGTTTTACCCTCAATAATCATAATTTTCAGCTCTGATTCATCTCACATTCCTGTGTTTCAAGTCTGTTATGTTTGATGAGGGCAAATGCTGTGCAGCCTTGTTGTGTTAGTTACAAATGCATCAACATCAGGTTGCCGGGAGATTCCATAGTGGCGCCCCCTTGTGGGCCGATGCCTTCCAAGTCCATGGCCATGATGTTGTCCTCACCGCGGTGACTTCTGTCTCTCCGCAGTAAGGCCATAATGAGGGAGAAGCAGTTTCTGTGCGGAAAGAAGAAATTCAACATGGACCCCAAGAAGGTGAGTCTGGGGAGCGGATGTCGATGCTCAGGGACTCGTGGTGTGGTTAAACCACATCCTGGGCTCGCTGCAGAGACACAAAAAAGCTGCTTCTCTCTCTCGGAGCTCAGCTGGATGGATATTTTACATATGCTGCTTTATGTGCTGCTGAATAAAGCCGCAGTACCAGAATCGCTATGCACGTCGATCCAAGATGGCCACCGAACATAGCAGTATGCCCCGCCCACTCTCCTAAGGATCCCTCCAGTACAGGTTGTGGTCATGGCTAGCAGAGATGGGCATGCTGGGAGCCTGAGAGCGGCACCAAGGTTAGGTGATGAAGCTCAGCTTCAGCCTGAGCCTGACCCAATGTTGGTGCTGTGCGGTAACTCTTAGCGACACTTCAGGCACCAACGCGGCGCGGACCGTCCCGAATGAGTGCGTAGTGTGTGATGTAAGCAAGCTCCACCTCTCTCCTCAGGGGATCCAGTACCTCAAAAAACACGACCTTCTGGAGGACACCCCTCAGGCCGTGGCCGAGTTCCTGTACAAAGAGGAAGGTCTGAGCAAGACGGCCATCGGGGACTTCCTGGGAGAGAGGTACTGTCACCGCAACGACCTTCCCGACTGTCCTGACACCTTGCAGAAGGGCTCACGTCAGTCTCCCCTCTTGCAGGGGTGACATGCATCTCAAGATCCTGAACTGCTTCGTGGATCTCCATGAGTTTTCAGACCTCAACCTGGTTCAGGGACTCCGGTATGTCAGTGCGGAGGGTCAGAGAGCTTATCAATGGCCTGATAAGAGTCAAACTAAAACATCTCTTGTAATGATACTCATCCCATCCACAATGTTCCCCAGCCTTCAGCCAGACGCTGACTGGGATGGGTTACTGCTAACCTGTACCGGGTAGGCTTTCTGAGGATGGATGGAGATAAAAGTGTGACTCCATCTTGCCTGATGCACCCCCCCTTCCCCCCCCCCCCCCCCCAGCCAGTTTCTGTGGAGCTTCCGGCTCCCTGGAGAAGCCCAGAAGATTGACCGCATGATGGAGGCCTTTGCCACTCGCTACTGCAACTGCAACTCCACCGTCTTCCAGTCCACAGGTACGTCTGTCGCATTCAGGCCGGGTTTCGGGGGGCTTGGTGCTGGGGGTGAATCAGAGCAGCAGCTCTTTGGGGGGGGTGGCGATGGTGGCGCCGTGCCCACATCCGCTCCCCTTGTTCCCCTCGCAGACACCTGCTACATACTCTCCTTCGCTATCATCATGCTGAACACCAGCCTGCACAACCCTAACGTGAAAGATAAGACCACGCTGGAGCGCTTCTTTGCCATGAACCGCGGCATCAATAATGGCGAGGACCTGCCCGACGAGCTTCTGACGGTAACTGCAGGGGGCGTGGCTCCCACAGACTCCACCCCTCACCTACAGTACTTACGCCATATGTCACAATGTAGACCAGGTCCAGGCATATCCCATATAAAAAAACAAAAAAAAAAAAAAACGCATGAAGTAACTCTGCGTCTCCTTTTTGGCCCAAACCTACAGAAACTATACGACAGCATCCAGAGTGAACCTTTCAAAATCCCAGAGGATGATGGGAATGACCTCACTCACACCTTCTTCAACCCCGACCGAGAAGGCTGGCTGCTTAAGATGGGTGAGACGTGGACAGAGTAACGTGACTCATTTTCTAAGACGTTGTCTCCATTACTTGAAAGAGCTAATAAGAGACACAAACAGGACCAGGTTGGGACACACTGGTTTAAAGAGAACCATAAACCATATCCCAGAATGTGGTAACATAGAGTGAAAGAGCAGCCTGACTGCTGCAGACACCTCCATGATGCGAATGCTAATTTGCGGTCTCCCACCCGCTCTCTGAAGGGGGCAGAGTGAAGACCTGGAAGAGGAGGTGGTTCATCCTGACTGACAGCTGCCTCTACTACTTCAGATACACCACGGTGAGTAGCTGGTCCCGCACCACAGCCTGGGCTGCTGACGGAGATTCTGCGGCGGGATCAGGGTGAAGAGCTGACTGTGCTTCACACTGTAAAACATTCCAGGCTGGATTTCACGGTGACTGTAGAGTCACTGTAATGTTGATTGAAGGCAGGAGGAAGTGAGCTCAGGGACAAAGTTGAGGCAAACAGTCAGGTAGTGGAAAGGCAGGACTAATCGCAAAGGCAGGACTAATCGCAAAGGCAGGACTAATCGATTCAGAGTGAATACTGTACTGTTACGGAAGGGTTCTGTGATCCAAAGGGACTCGCTGGTCTCCACAGGACACATGTCACTTTATTTACTGCATGACTTTGAATCTATTTCCTCTCTGTTAGATAAATTATGTTTTTGATGAATGGGGCCACGGGTATTTCTGCTGAACGCAGAGCTGAAAAGATTAACATGACTCAGAAAGGCAGCCTTTCCCGCCCTTTCACTGCATGCATGTTTTTTGACATTTTAGAATAATAGCACTTCAGCAGTTACTATCAGCCTCCTGTTCAGCCCGTGTCGGGGCCAGAACAAATCTGACAGGCAGGCCTAAGACAAGGGGAGGGCTATGTACACCATTGTTGTAAACAGGCAATTAAAAATGTTGATAGAAAACCAAACATAGATAAACTCAAAACATGACCCATTCAGGCTGGGCAGTGGCACGCCACAGGCAGCCAAAGACACGGCAACGGCACTCGCACGATACGTCTTAGTCATTCGGCACATCTGTTCTTTCAAATGTGCTTGAATTCATTCATTTTTAAGTGACGCTTCAACAGGCTGGTCTATTAGCATCTTTGGTTGATTATAGACAGTCATTTAGGGGGGCTACCCCCCCTCCCCCCCAGCCCTCCCGGTGCTGGGTTCACTTAGCTGTTTGGGTGGCAGTCTTTGGGTCACCCCAAAACTCTCGGGGTTTTCCCTGATAATCTGCTGCACGCCAACGAGCCCCAGGATGAGTCAGCAGGCGTGTTGTCACCTGCCCCCCCCCCCCGCTAGCTTCTCTCGGGATCTTCCGCTCTTTCTTTGCACCGTCCGCTTTCCTCCATGCTTCCAGCCACCTTGTTTTCACACTCACTGCCGCTCATCTTCACAAGAGTTTCATACACCATTCAGCCCGTCTGATCTGGCCTTTCCGTCTTCACCGATGACGAACATAGATTTATATCTTGTGGTTTAGCCTATATAATTCAGATATGTAACGTCTTCTAAGAGCAGTACTTGTGATTGCATCATTTTGCGTGCTGGAGGTGGTTGGCGATTGCACTGAATCGTGTTGCTCTAAGTTATAGCGAAATACTCAAAATTGCAGATGTTTTTCTCTTCTAGTGCTGCGGTTCTGACTGAATTCTGCTTTTCCTCTATTGGCCTAATTACTTCATTAGTGTCCACTTGCTGTAATATAGTTTTACACAAACTACCTCCGAAGGTAAAACCCTGGCTAAGAATTCCTGTTTCCAGTGATCTTCTCTTTGCAGTCAGTGCAGTGGGACACTCTCAGCCAATAAGAAATGCTCTGCCTGTCCCGATCTGTGATTGGGCGGCTTGAACAAACAGCTTTCCTTCAGAACCCTCTTCTGCATCTTTGCAGCATATTTTGAACATCTGGAGCCTCACTTTGGCTTTGGTGATGGTTGTGATGCTGATGTTTTTCTTATAAATTATGTACACAAAACAGTCCGTGCAGAACTGAGTGTGACGATGATGTGAAGTAACTGCCACAAAAAAGCGATGCACCTCCATCTCCTCTTTGAACAAAATCCACACTTTCTTCCTTAGGACAAGAAGCCCAGAGGCATTATTCCCTTGGAGAATCTGTGTGTGAGGGATGCGGACCACCCCCAGAAACAGGTGTGTGTCTGACCGCCTCCGCGCCCGATTCTCCATGATCCAGTGGTTATCGTTCTCAGCATTTCGGTCTTCTCAGAATTACAGTTACAACTTTCATGAGCTAGTAAAAGCGCAATAGTAAATGTCAGCACATTACCTATATCATGAGGTAGGCCGATCAGGAGTCATTTGAAGAGATTTCGACCATCAGCAATATGTAGGTGCGGACTAAGATGCGTGTTGTTTTCAGTTCTGCTTGGAGATCTACAATCCCATACAAAAAGGGCAGAAGATCAAGGCTTGTAAGACGGAGACTGATGGCCGAGTGGTTGAGGGGAAGCACCACTCTTACCGATTATGCGCCAGCACCGCCGAGGAGCGAGATGATTGGATCGCGTCCATCAGGTGACTGCCCGCCACCCTGAAGTCATAAACACAATGTTTTTGTTTCTCCCTCGGAGTAGTTGTGCAACGTTTATCATCAGAAATCCAAACTGAAATAATGGAAAGTTGTGATTGATCCTTCATGTTGGAACCCAGCTGATAATCATGTCATGTGACCCGACAGAGCAAGTACTTCCAAGGACCCCTTCTATGACCTGGTAACGGCTCGTAAGCGGAGGGCGCTCAGCACCGTTTCCAGAGACTGAGTGTCCAGGAGCCTGGGGGAGGATTAGCCTCAGGTAACAGGACACGGCCAGTCCCGGGACCGTGATGGCCCCTTAACCCAGGACACGGCCAGTCCCGGGACCGTGATGGCCCCTTAACCCAGGACACGGCCAGTCCCGGGACCGTGATGGCCCCTTAACCCAGGGCACGGCCAGTCCCGGGACCGTGATGGCCCCTGAACCCAGGACAGACTTTAACTCTTCCTTTTAATGAGCATTGCCTGGTACTAAGCCTTATTCTCTATGTATATTATTTTCCAAACCCCATTTTCAAGAAGGCAGCAGCGTTTTAAGTTCCAAAAACTGATGTAGTGCAGATTTCCACGGACTCCCAGCCAAACAGGTCTAATTGTTTTTCAGCATAAACCAATCAGAATTACCGGATGCCAAGGCATCACACTAAAGTAATCGTGTTTATCAGCATTGCAGCCCACAGTCTTTCACTGATTTTGTGAATGATGCACATATTTAAACATAGATCACTGTTAAATTAAATGTGGTATTAGTCTTTCTTTAGTTTGAAATTTTTAATGCTTTTCAAAATGGAATTGTGAATCTGGCACTATATATATATATATTTTTTTTCTGTGCTAGGAGAGAATTGTGTGTGTACAATGTTTCATTAATTTAAAGTTTATATTTTTGTGTATATATTTACCTTTGACAATGTAAAAAAAAACATCAGTTAAATTTACGTTTACAAAGAAACTTGTAAATATATTTAATAAATACACCTTTGTTTCTTAAATATTTATCTTCAAGTTTTTCAAAGTTTTTAAACATATTTAGAATGTTTTTCTCAAGAGTGGAATCTCAAACAAACAGGAAACCTAATAACCAATAATTAAAAGCAAGTGAGATGATCACATTATAAAATTGTAATTCTAAAAGAAAGAAAAAATCAGTCAGCATTATGATTTACTAACCACACTGTTTGTCAGACACAAATAACAGCACTGAAGTATACAAATGCATAGGGAGCGAAATGCAGAAATGGGTTAGCTTTCAGTTGTGTTATATATAAGCGCAGTTAGCAGAAGCGTACTCGGGTTTAATGAGAAACGCATCACAGACCACAGGCCTGAAAGCTGAGAATGCAAGGAGGAGCTTATCGCTTCAGACAGACCTGCACCAGCCCCGCACAGTAAACACGCATGCGCGCAGGTATCGGTACAGCTGTAGCTTGCCACATGCCCAGCCGATCAGGAAGCGGAGGAAAGATGCCCCAAGACAAGCCGCGGTCCAGCCTGGGTCGTCCTTTCAGGACGTTAATGATTCGGAAGATCACCCGAGGCGGGGTTACAGAGATGCATGCTGAGACAATGGAATAAATGGGAATAAATGAGGTGGTGTTGGTCTCTTATGCAAAAGTATTTTACAGATTTGACAGTTTTTCCACATTTAAGACGGAATAGAATGCACATCCCCATAGATTTTCCGGATGTGGTTGTAGCCTTGTAGTTCACGTATCAGCCAGCAGATGGCAGCTACTGGTAATTTTTCCGTGACTTCATTGAATGCTGTTACTGACAGTCTATGGGTCTGATGGGGCGAAGCCTTGGAGACGAGCGGATATACGGTTCATCTGATGATTTGATTATGTGACGCAGGATTATCGGCAGAGGGGGGCGGTTAAGATCTTTTTTTGGCGAGCATATTGTTTCAGTTCACATTTCAGAGTAAGGCACGTAGCAACTGTACCGGTTTAAAGAGCTGAGGGTTATCAGTCCTGGCCAGAGGTTCTCAATGCAGCGTGTTGAACAAAGCTGGTTATAGACAGAGTCGCTTAAACTGTGACCCAGACTGTGTATATGCAGGTTAAGGTTGCTGCCTGTTTAAAACCGATGCACTATTTACCCCCTCAAATACCCCATGTTGGCCCCATCAATAACAGCTCCGCTCCACTTCCTTCCCACCTCCGCTTCCTGTGTGTTTCCGCCGCCCCGTTTCGCTCCCCGCCCGGGTAGATCGAGGGCGATAAGCAAGGTAAGACGGGCTGCGCTCAGTCTCACCGAATTGCACAGCACAGCACACTACGCCCACACTGCCCGCCGTCGGGCGAGCACATGGTCATATGCATGGTCTAATTCTTAAGAAATTATACTTGAGACCGCATATTGTATGAATCCTCGGCCAGTAAGGTACTACTGACATAACCTGAGCAAGGTGCCGTCCTTTGTTGTACTGTGAAGTCTTTCACTTCAACACTATAGGTACATACCTTACGCATACGGTACACGTATACACAGAATCAGACAGACAGTTATGGGCGTGCACATCCATAAACACGCACGATCAGGCAGCGTGCATTACGGTGAGCAAACGGTTTCGGTTTCTTCCGCTACTTCAGGAAGTTTTTAACCTGCTACAGCCGGGTGTACTGAGAGCAAAACTGATTTTACCCATGATATTTCTGTTATTTCTCGGTGCCTTCGGTGGTTTCTTAAACGCGAGGCCACCTGCTGGAAACTATTCAGCATTGCATTCGCTAGTCAAAGGGCCTTGGATGCCAAACAGACTTTTACCGGAAACCAAAAAAGTACAGCTGTGCTCATCACATCAAATGATGGAGAATTCAGTCATGGTTTTGCATTGTTAAAAAATGCCAAGACGTTTGATTAATGCCCAGATTTATCACCCAAAACAATACTGTCATTTTATATATAATAATATGAGTTATTTCATATTTTGTTTCATATATTGTTAAATTCATCATAGATCGATGTCATTGTGCAGCATCCAGCAGAAGAATGTTCCGGTATCTGGGACCCCAGTGTCTCGCTCAGAAGTCCTGGTTTAACTGGGGTGTCCCACATGCATGGTGCTCCCATGTGCTGTTTGTAAACATTAGACTGCCGCCGCCCCCCCCAGGATGCGTGAGACATGGCAACATAGCAACCGAATATTTGTCTTGCTACAAAGTTGCCACCCGTGACATGTGATACTGTTGACCTTGTGGACTGCACCACTTTTCAGGGCGGGCGGGGGTGTCTGCCATCTGTGTGAGTGGAAAAGGGTGCCGCAGGAACATCAGACCGGCTTTCTACGGGATGCGTGTGGTTCCACGCTGCACATACTGCCAGACTTCACAGGCAGACACCTGCTCCTGCCTTTTATCCACTGAAGTCTCAGGGGTGTCAGGGCTGGACCCCCCCGCTTCTCTTACTCAGGACTGAATACAAGGCTTCTTCGAGTGCCGCCGACGCCCTTTAAAGCCTGGGGAGAGAACAGAGACAGAATGACCGGGGGTTTCTGTGTGCCCGCCGGCGGTAACTCGCCACGTACCTTCATCCACCACGTTCACCGCCTGCAGGGACACGCTTCTCTGGTTCAGCTTGGAGGGCTTTCTCAGTTTCCCTTTCAGCTGCGCCGGCATCTCCGAGAAAATGACCTTGAAGCCGTCCTCCTCCAGTTCCTCGGAGTCGGCGCTGTCTGGTGCGTCCGTGTCGGGGGAGGGGTTTGAAGGGTTGGGCGTGTCCTCACCCTCTGCCACTCCATTCTGATTGGCCGACCTCCCCTTCGGGAAGTTCCTGAAGGAGGCATGTGACCTCATTGCCCTGATTCCACTGGCTGGTGCCGTACCACTGCTATCCACCCCAGGGGTGAATCTGTCATGGTTCTGATGGTTGACCTCCTGGAGGTCAGGGCAAGTCTCCTCAGTGCCCAGGGCTTCCCTGATCATGGTCAGGTCCTGCAGGGAAACTGCCAGGCCCAAACTGTTCCCCACCACCAAGGAGTACTTGGGGTTGTGGTACTTGTGGGCCGGCACCTTGAGCCGAGCCTGGCCGGACTCCTGCTGGAATCGGGAGGCTGGCATCGTCGGGGGCACCCTGTGGTCCAGCGCAGGCCAGACGGGCACTGGCACGGCCGGCTTGGCCATGTGGAACTCCTTGTAGAGGTCCACCTGTTGGGAGACGGCGTACAGCTCCCGGAAGTCGGTGTCAAACACGTCGACCGTCTGGCCTGTCAGCACGGTGACCACGTTCCGGTCCAGGCGGGAGCAGCTCCAGGTGAAGCTGCGGCACAGAGCAGCGGTTAGCGAGGTCGGCCGTCGGCCGGCGGGATGCCGCGGGGCATGCCTCCCTCTCACCTGTACGAGCCGAACATCACCTTCTCCCCGTCCACCAGCATGTACTTACTGCCCAGGGAGCCGGGCAGGCGCCCCAGCGACAGAGCCAAGCCGCAGCCCTGCACGGACCTCAGCCGCATGCCCTGAAAGAGCCACACGCATGGCCGTCAGGCCCAGAGCGAGGAACCGCAAGGCTGCCTAAACCGCAATGCATCATCCGTACCAGCCGGCACGGTTCAGAAGCGGAGCTGCTCCTCACCCGCAGGTGCGGCGCCATGACCTGCAGCCGGCTGCACATGTCCAGGAAGTGCGGCACGCCTCTGACCTCGAGGATGACATAGACGGACACGCTCCGCTTGACGATGGCGTCCAGCAGGTCCTGGAGGATATGCAGGTCGGTGAGGAGGTCCATGACCACAGCAATCACCTGCAGTGCCGGAGAAAGGGAGCCATTGGTGAAGGGGGGGGCAGTCATAAAGGTCTTCCTGTAGGAGGCACCTTGTAAGCAGATCCTTACACAAGGCCCAGCAGGTTAGGGATCTGTGCCCTTTACCAGACTCTTGTGGGTTTGAATCTCCTGATCAAGGCCCGTAGCAGATAGCCCTGAGCACAGATACTTGTACTCCAAACAATGAGTAGGAAAGACAGCAGTCAGTCTGGCCCCTAATGCGTTGACCTTCCCTCCTCCCCCCACACTTTATAATTGGGAATCACCTTGTGTAACTGGCTCAGCAAGAATGAAAAACTTCCTGGTTTATTTTGGGAAGTTTGATCTCTGATCTGTTGCTTGGTAACTGATGCGTAACGGCCAGGCCCCATGTGATTACCACACTGGGGAGCTCACCCCCCCCCCCCAAGCCAGGTGGGGGATTTTGCCGAGTCCAGTTACAGTAAGGTCAGCAGCGTAGGCGAGCGTCAGCGTCTTTCACTCCGTCTCCCCCTCCCTCTGTATCTTTCTGTCTCACTCAAACAGCCCCAATCCAGAAGGCCCCATTTTTCCTAACAACTGTTAATCGGAAACCAAACAAAAAACATCAGCATGCTGTTTACCAAGAAAAAAGATCAAAGCCACTGTGCAGAAGTTTCCCATGTCACTGCACTGCTAGCACACACTGTGCTTCACTGGCCTACTTACAGGTTATTAACCAATCAGAACCGCTCACCACACCCTTAGTGCAAACCGGCGACTCTCCCTGCTGCACGGCGACTAACTGCTGTCTTGCAGAGCGGCGCGTCGCGGCAAGACCCAAACCACCGTCCACCAGCAGGTGGCGCTGGTCTCGGAGCTCTGTTTGCAGGGCAGGTTCTCCTGTTACACTCAGTGGGAGAAATAGCTGTTTACAACAGAGCCCGAGGCCCAGCCTCCCCCAGGCACGCAGGCCAATCCGCCTGAGGTTATAACGTGCTCTGCGAATCTCCCATCATGCCCTGGGGCTGACCTGGCAGCTCTGGCTGGGAGATCGGTGTTGGCCTGCTTCGAGTGATTAACTTTCCAGAACCATGTGCATGTGTGTGACTGTGCATGCGAGTGTGTGTGGTGTGTGTGTGTGTGTGTGTCTGTCTAAGCACCTCGACTTGCCCCAACGCCTCTGCATCCTACAGCCAGTGAATTTCACGTCTTCCAAAACCGTTTATGTACCTATGCGACTGTCACTCTTGGCCTCATTAATTTTGAACAAAACCAAGGAACGTATTTGCGCCCCCCCCCCCATGATTAAAATCGCACAATAAGGATTTCCTGCTGCATCAAAATTCCGCCAGGTGTGTATAAAACAATGTAAAAACAGTGTTTGTTAAAGAAGCAGTAGGTAGTCAGGGTTTTGGTACAAAGGTCAGGCAGAAATGCGATGGACGCACTCCAGCTACGACCTGTCACACCCTCCCTCGTGGTGACACGCGGACATCAAACGGGAAAACTAGTTCCACAGTTTCCTCATCATAAGCACTGCCTATTGCACAGTGCAGAAACTATGCTATATATCATGCAGTATATATTATATAGCCTAAGTTTACAACCTGCAAATTGTGAGATGTGATCTTTGGAAAGAATATTAAGGCACCTTAGAAAGTCTCCCCCCTGAAGGTGGGACAGCATCCAACCACTCCCTGTCAATCCACAACATGCAGCTGGGAGTGATTCAGTGAGGGGGGTAAATTACACTCAGTGTGGAGAGAGGGGGCATTTGTTCCACCCGTGTATGGAAACCGTCAATCACACAGATGACATGACGGTGTATCTATATCACTGACGATGCAGGTGATTCCAAAGCACACCGTTTTTTAGTTCTAGCAGCGCACCAGGAAGTATAAGTGACTTAACTTTTTTCCAGGTTGTTGAGCTCCGTTTAGATATTATATTATGTAAATATAGATTAGTGTAAAAGTATGAAAATGTAAATTTGGCGATGCTGTAGCCACGCGCGTTAAATGCCCGGGAGGTAGGCATCCCGGCCAGCTGCCCTTACCTTACTGGACTCCTGGATCATCCTGCGCGCCACCTCTTTAATGTGCGGTCCCCTGTCTTTGGGCGGATGTGTGTGAACCGAGACCCGGGTCGCTCCTCTGTAAATTGCCCCGTCAGCCCAGCCGATGTCCAGAGGCGGCGGCTCCGTGTCCGACAGCTGCGGCCAGTAGGTGGACGGAAGCCCCGAGTGCGTGGGGGAGCCGCAGCTCGAATCGTCGCCGTCGGCGGCATAGGGCTGCAGCGTGTCCCGGATGGTCTTCACCTCCCGGGCCGATAGGAAGTCCTTCGCGTTGTCGTCGCGGAGCTGCATCTTGAAGGCGCCATCGCCATGCCGCAGCAGCTGCTCGATGGCCGCCCGCTGCTCCTCGCTATAGTAAAACTCGGGTCGCCACTCCGGCACCTTTTCGTTCACATGGCAGTCGTCCAGGATGCCCAGCTGGGATTCGGCCATGGCGGCGCTCGGCCCGATAAGCGAAGCCGCGTATCTCCTTTACCTGTGTGACTTACTGTAGGTGAGCGTGGGGAGAGGGGCGGCGCTGCTGTCAATCATCCGCCTCACCTGGCAGGTAAGCTTCTCTTTCGCGAAAAGGGGCGTGGCTATATGGACGCTGCTGTCAATCATCCGCCTCACCCGGCAGGTTAGCTTCTCCATCACGAAAGGCATGGGGCTAAGCGGCGCTGCTGTCAGTCATCCCCCTCACCTGGCAGGTAAGCTTCTCCTTCACGAAAGGGGCGGGGCTAAGCGGCGCTGCTGTACACAGAGAGAACTAATGTCAAACGTTTATTAGTAGACTATATTTATCATTTGCTGTGGGGGATAAATACGACACAGACGATTTTAAGCGGCGCTGCTATCAATCATCCCGGCAGGTAAGCTTCTCCAGGATTTATGCACCTGCCGCAAGTTTTGCATAAAAACTGTAAAGTAGGCCTACAGGTAACCGGTGCGCAAAGTTACCTTTAGTTATTATTATGGTCTATCATATTCTTCCATCAATATTTGAATCACAAATAATATTTCAGGCTAATATTTCAGGTATGTCACCCTGAGTTTAAAAAAAATCACCAGTATACAGAGAGTACTAATGTCAAACGTTTATTAGTAGGCTATATTTATCATTTGCTGTGGGGAATAAATACGACACAGACGATTTAAAAATCAGAATTAGGTTTATTGGCCAAGTATTTTCACACACACGGAGGATTGTCTTATCAGTGTCTCTTCTCAGTCGACTTGCAGACGACGGTGTTAAACAGCTCATTGCGATGTAAAATGTACCGTTTCTTTGCGTATTTTAACTTATTTTTTTTAAATGTGTTTTACATTTTAAAATTTACCATAGGACTGCATAAGATGATGGAAAATATCTATCATACATTAAATCAGTTATATTACTGATGGAGTGTGAAATGTTAACAGACAGCTGTGTATATTTCCTGTTGTTATTTCAGAGTGGGTTTTGCTCCCGTTGAAGCTTCATATATAGAACTCTGTAAAAAATCAAGAGACCACTGTATTTAAAAACGTAAATCCTGGTTTAATCCCGGTTCTGTTGGCAGAAGGCTACACTGTGAGACAGGCTGCTTCCAGGATGTTTCTAAGACTGCAGTACACAAGAACCAGGTGAAGCAGGAGTGTGGTGAGCGGTTCTGATTGGTTAATAACCTGTAATATATATATATATATATATATATATATATATAATCACAGATGCACACCCATAAATTGAGAAATGAGTGAAACTAAACATTTTGCTGTGGTCTCTTAATTTTTTTCCAGAGCTGTAGATTAAATGTATCTCGGCAAATGGATGTAGTTGCACGAATGAGAATCTGCTCTGATCCATTGTAAACTGGACCGCCGAGATTCACAACAGCGTAATTTGTTTTTATATTAAAGGTATCACCACTGCAATTTATAGGCCTCATTTGGCTTTGCAAAAAACAACAAAATATGTCAGTATGTACAGCTTCAGTGCCGTTTATCTCTGGCTACCGTATCCTTCATGGTAAATCCCTGGAACCTTATATGTTAACCGTGGCCTTGAAGGCAGGTAACGACCAGCAGCACGGCTCAGATGGGCATGGTGTAGTTGGCTGGGAAGAGGCCGATTCTGCCCTGCAGTCTTCCTTTCCACCACGACGGATCGGACCAGTCGAGAACCTCCAGGATTTCCCCAGCGCAGAAGCCCAGCTCGTCCGCCTCCTCCGCCATGAAGTCGTACAGCGCTCTCACGTGCTTGGCGGGCCGCTGGGAATATGCAGCACACAGGGACGGGGAAACTTTTTGTAACAGAAATGTGGGACATAATAGCCTTTGGGAGGGGGGAGGGGGGGGGGACAGTATAGAAGCTGGGGGTGAGAGATCACCATTAAAGCTTTGGAAGGCCTATGCGGGTTGTACCTGTGTCAGTGCCATGGTGTCAGAGGCTCGGCGGGGCACGGGGGCGGGGCCGAAGGGGCTGCTCCTCCCCACTGCCCCGATGGTGTGAGCTCTCTCCTCCATATTCCTCCTGGGCTGAGAGGGCAGGGAAACATGCACAGGTTTAACTGCGGAAGGAAGAACGCCTCGCGAAGGAACAAATCCACCACGCTAGAGACTGCATGATGGATGCTTTTACAAACATCGTGGTAGCAGCAGAACAGAATTTCCTCTATCTATAGTGTCTTATTTATCTTATTTACAATTGCCTGTTCGTGCATGAAGGCTTATAATTAGTAAACGTCATGAGGTGTCTGTATGTTAATGTGCCTGCAGGATGTTTGCTGCTGGAGTGAGTCCCGTCATCAGAGAGGTGCCCCCGCCTGGCGCTGCCTAACGCAGTCTAACACAGCCTAGTGCAGCCCAGCACAGCCTAGTGCAGCCTAGCAAAGCCTAATACAGCCTAGTGCATCCTAGCAAAGCTTAATGCAAACTAGTGCAGCATTAAACAGCCTAGCAAAGCTTAACGCAGCCTAACACAGTCTAACACAGCCTAGTGCAGCCTAATATAGCCTAGCAAAGCTTAATGCAGCCTAGTGTAGCCTAACACAGCCTAGCAAAGTTTAACACAGCCTAGTGCAGGCTAACGCAGCCTAGTGGAGCCTAATGCAGCCTACACAGCCTGGTGCAGCCTAGCAAAGTCTAACAGAGCCTAGCAAAGCTTAACACGGCCTAGTGCAGCCTAACACAGCCTAGCAAAGTTTAACGCAGCCTAGTGCAGCGACTTCCAGCCTGCCAGTGAGCTTTCACAGATGCTATCTTCGTTTTCACGGTGAAACTGTCAGTGCGGCGGGAGGTGTGTGTGCGCGGCGGGTGAGTGTCTCAGTACTTGATGAGCAGGGGGTATGGTGTCAAAGTTCCTGAAAGACGGGGAGCCTCCGAGGCCGTCGTAGTGGTGACTCCTCCCCTCGGGGCCACTTCCCCTCTTCCCCTGCTGAGAGGGTGGGACAGGCCTTACAGACAGATCACAGGCTCTGCATCACCCATTCGCCATGTGTGAAGATCTATGCTATTCCTGTCTGTTCGGAAATCCCCTGTACCGCAGGCTTTTTCGGGTTTCCCGTTTCGGAAATGCTTGGACCAGCGTGGGATGTTACTTTTGGAGCAAAGCGACCCCTTGGGGCCTGTGTGTGTACACGTGGATTCAGCTTCAGTCCCAGCTTCAGTCCCACACTGCGCTGACTCCACATAATTCAGACCAAACCAAAGTCTGAATTATCAACATCATTTTAGCAATACGTCATCATACAAGCGCTGATCGTTGTTTCAGTGCCCCCACTTACCACAGTACCTTTATTTGCACTTTTTATATGGGTCTGCTACACTGAAAGCATTCTGCGCCCTCTAGGTTGTAGCGTGACAAAGAATAAACAAGGTGGCCTCATTTTAAGTGGGATTGTTCTCGGCGATGTGTCTGGCCGCCGTTTGTGGCGCGGTGACCTTAAGTCACGTGCCCATAAATCCAAGCGTATGTGCGTGTGGCTGAAACTCCACCAGGGTCCAGCAGGTGGTGCTGTGGATTCGCAGGGGGCGGATACCCTCCTACCTGATGGTGCATGGGCGGGAACGGCTCGCTTGGCCTGTCCTCCCTCAGGAAGATCTGGGTCTGCTTGGAGATGGAGGTGGTCTTGTAGTACTCCACCAGCTTGTTCAGGGAGGTGAACTTCTCCGTCCATAGGAAGTAGCTGCCTTTTTTGTCCTTCATCACTTTGAAATGCTGCACATCACAATGGTGTCTGTGGGCACACGGATCGCTTTGGGGACAGGTCTGGTATGTTGGGGGCAAAGGGCTCTTTTTCATGGCTCTCTTTTATATACATTCAGGCTGATGATGTGATCAGCGGTTTTTCCACAGTATGGGACCACAACGTATCAGGTTTTCTCAGGAACATGATAGGCCTCGTATCACATCACACTGACTTAGTAGATGCAGTTATCCAAAGTAATGCATGATTTTCGAGATCAGGATCAGACAGTCCCGGGGGGGGGGGGCTGCGGCTTATGAGCTTATGACTCTGCTGACCTCGGAATTTGAACCGATGACCTTCCGGTCTCGGGGAGTCCTAAGCCGTATATAGCAGTTGGTTTTTTCAATAATTTATTCGTGTTGCGTGGTGGATTTAAAGGGCAATTTTCCGTCCATGTCACAGAGCACTCGCTGGATTTAATCAGTTTTGAGAAACTCATTTACTTTGAGACAAATGGTGTCGGAGCCCATGGTGTAGGAGAGAGTTTGATAGTGGGAGGTGGGGTGGGGGGGGGAGATAGTGAGACAGCTTAAAAATTTTACATATAAATGATTATTTTCTATTTTCTGGAGGGATGACTGAAGCCAAGATAAATATTGGGGCCCACACGTCCCTCCGTTCCCCGGCCACTACCCCCCTGTGTGCAGTGACGGGACAGTCAGGGCAGGCGGTTGCTGGGGCCCGAACTGGAAGGGCCCCCCCAATGCACCAGATTACACAGCACACTGCAATGGCAAATCAGCTTTATTTGTGTATTCAATTTTTCACAAAAGTGAAAATACAGGACTTGTGTTTATTAAAATGTCTTTTCTGGTATTATTAATTTAGATGTTTAGCTGAAACAATTTTGGGGAAATTTACCATGCTGGAGGAGTGGGAGTTGGAGAGTTATTTTGAAAAAGGCCCCCAGAGACTCTAGACTCACTCTGCATAGTGAGACAGGACAAACTTACCTCGAACAAACTCTACTTCAGTGTACATGCAGTGCTTAGTCTAGCCAGCAGGTAGAGCACCAACCAAATAAATGCAGAATACTTTCCCTTGGATAGCAAAGAGACCCAGTGGCGTAAATATTGTGTAGGATCCTCCATGCCATTAGCCCTCAGTGCGGGGGGGGGGGAGGTCGCAGGCCCACCTGACAGAAATGGAGAAGTCCCCCGGAGAATTCTGGCTGCCGCGAATGAGGAAAGAGCCCACAGTGCGGGACATCAGCAGCTCCTCCGCAGCGGGGCGACTGGCGCTCTCGTGGAACCAACTGGCGGGGGGGACGTGTGGTTATGCAAACATACAGACACACACAGGATGTACCTGCAGACGTACGGACACGCGCACAGGGTGTACCCGCAGACATATGGACACATGCACACACA